ATACCCCTATTTATATATACAAAGTGGTATTTTTAGTGGTTTTCACTAGTTTCCAGTAGCGTATTTCATAAATATAGCCGTATCTTTACGAAATAAATAGGTAAAATTCCAGGCTCTTTTTTATAATATAGGCCATTGAGTTATCTAAATATTAAGACTTTTTCGAAATTCATCGGAGCTATATTCGTAAAGTTATTAAGGTTGAAAGGTATTGGGATTATAGGGGATAAAGGCCACTAAAGCAGGGCTTGTAATAGACACTATAGTCAAAATTCATACTTTCAGCCGCATCCGGGTCAATACTGGTCCGAGTCACGTGCACCCTGGACCGTAATTTTGCTGATTTTCTTATTCAAATTATAGTATAAATTATATTTAAATCGGACCAGGATTCGCAAAGTTATTAAAGGTTAAGTGCGAAAAGCGATTTTAAGTTACCCGGGACCATACCCCGCATACTGCACGGGTAGCAATGGGCATACTGCACGACTAGTGTTGCTCTTTAATAATATTATTTTAAACTTTTAATATAAAAAAAATAAAATAATTTTAATATTAAATATTATATATATTTTTAAAATTAATATATATTTTTTAATTAATATATATATTAATTATAATTTTAATAAAATTTTTTAAAATTTAACTTTTTTTTTAATTTAAATTAATAAAAAATAAATTAAAAAAAATATTTATTAATTAAAATATAATAAAAATTAAATTATATTTTAATAATAAAATATAAAAAAAAAAATTATTATATTTATTATATAATATTAATATTTTAAAATAAAATTAAATTTAAAATAATTATTTTTTTTTATTATATATATTTAATTTATAATAAATTTAAAATTAATATATATAATTAATATATATTTAAATTTAAATGAGATTAAAAGTAATTTAATATAAAATATTTTAAAATGTTATTATTTATTAATTTTATTAATAATTTTAAGGTTTTTTTAAATTTTTACCATTTATTAATAAATAGTTATATTATTTTTATTAATTTTTTTATAATTAATTAAATTTAATTTAATAATATTATATTTTTAATATTTAATTTTTATAAATTTAAATTTAATAATGTTATTAAAACCTTTAAAATATTTAAATAATTTAATTATGGTATAAATATGATTATTAATGGTAAAAATATTATGGTTTATATTTTTATATTTTTTTATATAAAAAATATATTATAATAAATAAAAAATTATAATATAAAAGGTTTTTATATTTTAAAATTTTATTGTTTTTATTATTATATAATATTATTTAAAACTTATTAATAAAATATTATATTAAATTTTAATATTATTAATTATAGTAAATTCCATTATTAAATTATATAAATATAATATATAATAGTTAATAATATTAAAGATAATGTAATTAAAGATGTTTATAATTTATAATAAAAGATAATAAATCTTTAATTATTATTTTAAATCATTTTCTTATTATTAAATATTATTTTATTATATTTATTTAACTTTATTTATTTAAAATATAATGAAATATTAAATTTAATATATTTTCTTTTTTAAAATATTATTTTAATAATATTAATTATAATAAAATATTTTTTACTTTTATAAACGTAATTATTTCTTTTAAATATATAACATTTATAATTATTAAAATATTACTTAATAAATTATAACATGTCCTTTTATATTATATAGTTTATTATTATATTAATATTTTTTCGAAATTAATTAAAATTTAAGTATATTAAAATTAATTTTTTTAATAAAATAAATTTATATAATGATTTAATAAAATTTATTATTTAAACTTATATTATAATTATTAAAAGTAATATAATCCTTATAAGTTTTAAGGCTTTAAAACCATATTAAAAAAATTTATTATTTTTAATTAAAAATATTAAAAAATAATTTAATTAATTATATATAATTATATTTAAATTATTAAGTAAATTACGTATTATTTTAATTATATTAATTTATTTTAATATTAATATATTAATTATTTTTAATTATTTTATTAAAAACATTATAAAAAATTTAATATAATTTATTTAATATATAAATAATATATTATAATTAAATATTTATATTATTATATATTATTTTAATTTAATTAAAAAATATAATTTAATAAATAATTATATTATATTAATTAATAAAAATTTATATTAATAAATAAAATTTAATATTATAATTATTATAAAAATATTTAATATATATTTTTTAAATAATTTAAAATATATAAATATTTTAAATGTTATATAAAAAAAATAAATTATTTTAATATTAAAAAAATTTTATTTTTAAAATATAATATTTAAATAATAATTTATTTAATTTTATATAATAATTTTTTAATATAAAATTTTAAATTTATAATTAAAATTTAATAATTATATTAAAAATATTTTATTTTATTAATAAAGATTTTTTTTCGATTTAATTAAAATAAATTAATTAACGTAAAAAAAATAAAAAATAAAAAATTAAAAATTATAATATATATAAATAATATATATATTAATATTTTTATTATTAATTATATTTTAAAAAAAGATATTTAATATAATAAATATTTTATATATAATAATAATATATTACCGGTAAAAAATAAAGATTTATGTAATTTTAATTAAATTTTATTTTTAAAAAATCTTTAATAAATATATTAATAAAATTATAAATTTAATAATTATTTTTTTTAAATATAAAAAAATAATATTAATATTTAATAAAGAGTAACATTAGTCGTGTAATATGCCCATTGCTACTCGTATAATAAAACGGGATACGTACCGGGTAAGTTAAAATCGTTTTTTACATTTAACCTTTAATAACTTTACAAATTTTAATCCGATTTTAATATAATTTATACTATAACTTAAATAAGAAAACGAGGAAAATTACGGTTTAAAATGCACGTAATTCGGACTAATATTGGCCCGGATACGGTTAAAAGTATGAATTTTAACTATAATGGTTATTTTAAAGCTTTTTTTAATGGCTTTTATCCCCTGTAATCCCTACACTTTTTACCCTTAATAACTTTACGAATATAGCCCGGAGAAATTTCGAAAAAGCTTTAATATATAAATAATTAAATGGCTAATATTATAAAAAAAAGCCGGAAATTTTACCGATTTATTTCGTAAAGATACGGCTATTCTTTTATAATAAGCTAAAATAAACTAATAGATACTAGTAAAAAAGTTATTTTATATACACAAATGCTTACTATTTAAATAGCTCAACCGATCCGAGGCCAAATCACGTGCAACCTGGACCGTATTTTTGCTAATTTTCTTATATAATTAATTATGTTTTTTTGAAAAAAATTGGACTAGTATTGGTAAAGTTATTAAAGGAAGTCTTAAAAGGGGGAAAAAAAAACAAGGTACGTACCTCGTTTTATTACACGGGTAGCAATGGGTATATTACACGATTAGTGTTACTTTTAATAAATTTTTAAATTTATATTTAATTATTAATAATTATTTTTAAATAATATTTTATTAATATAAATTTAATATATAATATAAAAATTAATTATTATAATTTAATAATATTATTTTTAATTAATATATCTTTATTAAAAATAATTATATTTAATATAAAAAAATATATAAATTTATTTATTTAAATTATATATTTTTATTTATTATATATAATAATAAATATATATTTATAATAATAATATTTTTATATTATATTATTATTTATAATAATTTTTTAAATTTAAAAATTTTTTAAATGTTTAACGTAAAACTTATTATTATTAAAATTATAATTATTAAATTAATAAAATTATATTTAATATTTATTAATAATATTAAAATTATTTACGTAAAATAAAAAATAAATTATATATAAAAAGTAAATTTAATTTAATTTTAAAATATATTATTTAAAAAATTAAATAACTTTTATATATTAATATTTTTATATAATATATTAATTTATTAATAAATTAAATATTTTAAAGTAATTTAACGCGTTAAATTAAAAATTTAATTTAAAATTATTACGTAAAACTTAATTTTTAATAACTTAAAATAAAATTAAAAAACGTTAAATATTTATATTTTAAATAAATTAATTTAAGTTAAAAATAAAATATTTATATATTTAAATAAAAGGTTAATATATAATATTAAATATTTAAATTAAAAATATATTTAATTTTAAAATAATTATTAAAAAAAAAATAAATATTAATTATAAAATAATTATTTAAAATAAAATAATTATTAAAAATAAAATAATTTTTAAAAATAAAAATATTATAAATAATAAAATAATTATTTATATAAAAATTATTATTTATAAAATAATAATTATATATAAAAAAATAATAATTTATAAAAAAATAATAATTTTTAAAAAAATAGTTTTTTTATAAAAAATAATAATTTTTAAAAAAATAGTTTTTTAATAAAAAATAATTATATATATTAATATAATATTATTTAATTTAACTATTATTATAGGTAATATAATATTTAAAATAAAAAATTATTTTAAATAATTATATATTACCGCTATGGTAGTGTTTTAAAAGGTTGGATAAGACATGATAGGGATTATTGGCTATATCAATATTATACATAATAACATGTCATGCATACAAACATGATATGTACCTAACTGTGATATATTATTGGGCAGCACTTAGGTTAGACTATAGTCTATCGTCAATCTACTCCCCATTCACATGCTTAGGTACCAGGTATATTCCGACTTCACTCTCACAACTAAACCCTGGCCTCTTTAAACGCGGTTCATAGGTAGGTCATGTTAATATACTGTTTCCTCTAGGTTGACATCAAATAAGCCAAAAGGGCGCCTAATCTCTGGCCCTGATAGCCATCTACAATACCTATCCATACTTGACACATCTTATGCAAAGCAATACCAATCTCGTACAATTCCAGTTAACTATGCAATCGGAGCATATCTTTAATCCAATGAATAGGAACGCCTTGCTTGGTAAGACGAATCCTAACGCACCGCCGTCATTGTCTCCCGCATGGCGACTAATCCGTACATGTATGTGAAAACTACCATCGAAGTGTTGTTAGTATGCCTTCCTTTGAAACATCAATACTTTAGGCTTCTTACTTCCAGGAGATATCGCGATAAACGCGATATGCGCCGCGATGATGGCTTCCGGCATGTCCTTTATGATATCAGGGTCTAGGAAGAAAAGCCCCGAGTGCCCTGTGTAGTATTTGCCCAACGCCGACCAGCCGAGATACGCACCGCTGCAGAACATGACTCCGATTGCATGACCCGTAACAGGCTATTTATTGATCTTTAGTTAGTAATAGGTTATAGATTTGAAAAAGCTAAAGATAACACTCACGGTTTGTCGGCGGATGCTATTGAGGAACCAAATTTCAACAAGTGCGATAACCGATGTAACAGTCCAGACGTTGACAATACTAAATATTTCGAGCGGGCCCTGTTCGAAGAGCCCCTTGTCTTGTTGCTGTTATCAGCACTTATACCAGTCAATAGAAGATAGTCGATATTCGGCATACCTGGATGGTTCTCGACTATCTCGTTGCCGCTATACGGTAGGTTTTGGGCCTGATGAGGTATAGTCGGCGCTTTGAAACCGCCGTGTCCGGAGGGAACGAGAAAGCCCCAATAGATCAGCGTATTCATCATGGGGAATACGTGAGCAATCGTATAGTACAAGCTGAACAAGTATCGACGGATGGGAGAGATAGCTTTGTTCGGCGGTGATAGGAAACGAGAACAGTAAGCCTTGAACTTGTGCCCCCGGCATTCGTTAGGGTCTATTTCCATTGCCCTCGGATGGATGAGGTGCATAGCGGTCCAGATCTAATTGCTATATATTAATATAGGCATAAATCAGAGGACGGGTATGGCAAGACAAGGGTAAAACTGACCGTCACCTGCAGATGCCATGCCTATTGTATACAGAAGGAGACGGCCGAGAACTGGAATGGGATACGCCAATAGGCATGATTGTCTTCAGTCTCGAGCTTATACTTGAGCGCTAATCCGAAGACAGCTGAGAGGTAAGCGGCGAAAACGGAACGGAGAAATAAGAGAAACTTTTGGTTAATGAAGCGACAAGAGGAATGGCACGCCCGGAGGTAGATAGACTACTCAAGATCAGATTATCTCTTCATCTATAGTAGTAAGAAGTATCAAGGGGAGTAATTTACGTGACTATCTGATTGGTCAAGGTAATTAGGTTGTCTAGATTGGCCTGAATGATATTGAACTTGCACCGGATGTGGGAGCAGCGGTGTTCTGTCCGTCGACCCTGGCATGGCGGATATGGAAATATGAATGTTTACGTAGGCTCGGAGGTTTTAGTAGGTATTGATGATCGAGACGATGATCGAATAATACAGAATGGTCCTGTATCCCCGATCCAGAATAGAGAGGCGATATAAATAGAATATTTAGCATCGAAGCTCAAAGGGAGAATGAATACGAAGAGGTAAACGATTGAGGATGAATGGGCGAAAGAGGTAGGAGATGAAGTCTAGGTTAATAACTGTGAGAAGAAAGTATTGTCCAGTATAGGTTGAAAGAGCAAGAAGGTTCTTCTCACTAACAAGGAAGTAATCGACTGACGTTTTCTCATCGACGTGTTAGTAGATGACGTGAAGGTGCTGTCCTATCCATAAGATCTAGGAAAGACTTATGTTGACAATGCATTGTTAAGAATAAGGATATACCTGAGTTAAATATTAACATATATTGAACCTCTAAGTATCGACGTACCTAAGCACCAAGTGGACCTTCTATAACATTCCTGCCTAAACAAGCCAAACTAACGTATACGCCAACCCTCATTGGCCAGTTCACCATCCAGCCCAAAAACCAGTGAAACAATAGTCTCTTATCGATAGCGCCGACAAGCACCCAAGTTAAGGCCACTTTCACTTAAGTACCTAGCTCCGTTGTCTCATTCGCAGCTCCAATTGCATCCCATTGATCCATTAAGCTGGCCTCAAAATCTTCGAGGCCAGCACCGAAAGCCTCACCACCAGACCCAACATATATCCACGATAAGAAGGAATAAAACAGAAAATGTTGTCAGGTCTTCAAAATCCCCGGCAAGCGGCCGCTCAGCTGCTGAATTTCGGCTTGATTCTTTCCACCGCATTCATGGTACGTTTATCTATCACCGCCCACTGTCGCAAATCGCACACCCCAACTAACCAACCCCCTCTCCCTCGCAGATGTGGAAAGGTCTCTCCGTCTTCGCCGATTCCCCCTCGCCTATCGTCGTCGTCCTTTCTGGATCCATGGAACCCGCCTTCCAGCGCGGCGACCTACTCTTCCTCTGGAACCGGAACATACTAGCCGAGACGGACGTGGGCGAGGTGGTAGTCTACAACGTGCGAGACAAGGAAATCCCCATTGTCCATCGTGTAGTTCGCAAGTTCGGCACCGGCCCCCACGCGCGTCTGCTCACCAAGGGCGACAACAATGCCGCGGACGATACCGAGCTATACGCCCGCGGCCAAGACTATCTCGAGCGCAAGGATATCATCGGCAGCGTATTTGCGTATATCCCCTTTGTAGGTTACGTCACGATCATGCTGAGCGAGCACCCCTGGCTCAAGACTGTCATGCTGGGTATTATGGGGTTGTTGGTTGTGCTGCAGCGGGAATAGTCATGTCTATAAGAAAAAGGGGGGGCGTCTGGAAAAGAACACCCAATGTCAGCTTGTGATTTGGGTTTATTTTAGAGACTATCTTCTCAAATAAAGGATTTACCATGGACTAGCTAATGCAATTCTTCGTTCAAACAAGGTCGTGACTTGTACTGAGATATATGTAAACTTGAAGTTAATTTTTAGGGAGCCATCAATCATGAAGCTCTCTTAAAATGCTGGTTGGGCATTCATCTAGGACTTGTAGTCTACCAGGAAAGACAGGTATTCTACAGTCATTCGCTAATATGGACTCACTTTTTTACAATTCACATAGCTTCGGCAGCCAGGTTACAGGGAATAAATTCTGTTAAAACGATTGCCTATGGGTATTCTCTAACCGACTGAGCATGCATCTTGTAACCTTGCAGGCCCTCTCCTGCGTTCAAACCCTATTCTCACGTAAACGTAAGAGCTACGTAGAACTGATACATGAAAATATAGAACCACAGCGCCAAACGATGTGCCAACTGGGGCCAACATCATGGGATCTAAAAATACAGCTCGCGAGCTCAGACTTAACATCATCTCAGCTAGCTTTTCACGGGAACCTTTCTCGATTAGTAGTATTCCTCATCTCCGTAGTCGTCTCCGCCATAGTCTCCTTCGTCATACCCCGTTTCATCGTAGTTCGGCTGCTCCTGATCATCGTAGTAGTCGTTATACGTCTCTTCCAGGACTTGTTCTTCTACCTCTTCATTCCCGTCTTCTACGCCCTCGTCATTGACGGCCGCTTCGGCTGCTTCTTTACCGGTGCTCGCCACAACGCTCTCTGCACGACTTGCGGGGCCGCTTCCGTTGCGAGACGTTACCGATCCAGGTCCTCGGTCTTTGTCGCTAGTAAAGAGATTCTCGATAGCGTCATAGTTAATACGTCTTGAATAGGTATCCCGCTTCTTCAGTGCTTCGATGGCTGCCTCGCCCGGGGTAGAAGCAGGCGTGAGCTGGCCTTCGCCGATTCGCGGCTTTTTTACGCGATTGCGTTTCCGCTTTGGAGGGCCCAACTCTTCCATCTGCTTACGATAGATTATCTCCTGCTTTTTTCGGAGCCAGTCTTTATTCGCGTTGATCCATATGCTTTCCTTGATTTTTACTTCCTCGGGAGAGAGCTTGCAGAACTGGACCTCGGGATCATCGGCAAACTCATCCTCGCCAATGATTTCGTCCATATTTGTCGCCCGTTGTGGGAGAAGAGAGCGCGCCCACTCTGCTTTGATGTGCGCGAGATGTGCGGCGGTAGCTAGGGCTTTGCCATGTTCATCACTGTGAGGGTCATTGATTACCTCGTTGATCTGCTGCTCTAAAACGGCCTCGTCGCGCTCCCATTCGTCGTCAAAAGTGAGCGACGGTTCAGAAGCCCCCTTCTTGCGACCACGTCGCCGAGTTCCCGATTGCGCCGGCGCTTCCTCTTCATCTTGAGCCTCGCCTTCGAGCTGGCCGTCCGAAGCGCCGTACGTAGCTGCTAGCCCATCCACTGCATTATCATCTTCTGGGTTTTCAGCCGCGAGACCCTCTACAACGTCCCTGTCCGCACTCTTCCGGGGAGCAGGCTTCGGAATCTTCTCCGGGTCGAAAGGGGCAACCAACTCTCTCCCCTCGGAGTTATCGAAGGATCTTGGTAGGTAGTCTTTGACTTGACGCATCTTAGAGGTGTCCGGGTGTGGGCGAGGCACTGGCGGTGGCGGCATTTCGGTTGAGGGTCTTGGCGTGGCAGCAGAGCTGTCGGGCGCTGGTGTTCCAGCATTAGAACTTGATTGGTCGTCCTCATCATCGATATCTTCGATCGCACGCTTCCTTTTTCTAACTCTGCCCTCCTTTTCCATCTTCTCTTGCCATTCCGTGGTGGATTTGTAGAATGCCGGCGGGTCGTGGCGGGACTCGAGAAACTCTTGATTCAGAAAGTCCTCGATAGACAGTTCGCTACTTTCCGTAACGGTGAATTCGTCAAGACGTTGCTCGATCGTATGCGTCGTGACTTTGACAACGTATACGATCTCTCGAACGGTACGCCTAAAGTTCCACATGCGCGCCGCCATAAGAATGCAAGCTCCGCAAATGCCAGAAGGTCGACGGCCCATAACCATCCAGTCACGACCCATTCTCTGGCATAGCCTAGTTGCATCAGCTGCAACCTTGTTGGTGAAGTCACCAAAATCGAGCTTTGAGCAAAAGCGGTATATCAGATCTTCCGGAATGATGGACTTGACGTTGTTGCTCTGGAAGGAATATATATTGCTGAGGTCCTTGAAAATATGGCCAAGTTCGTAAACATTTACCTGGACGTCGTAAGCGAGAGGAAATGGAAAGGAGTGTGAGATATGTCACAGAATACTTACGTGGACAAGCTCGGCAAAATCGATAAGCATGACCTTACAACGGTCCTCTCTGCGGCACGCGGTGTAGAGGCATACGGGAACCACTTTATCCATACCTCGTCCCTGGAGCCAATTCTCCTCCATGACGAGCTTGAAGATCTGGATGCCGGCATCTACAGCGCTTGGAGGAACTTCCTTGAGCTGATGTGCAAAGCCTACCATCATATTCTTAGCTATAAACCAAAGTTAGCCGCACAGCCTTCGATGTGTTTCGTTTAAAATTAAACATACCTTCGCGAATAGTCTTCTCCCGAGCGTCCGTGAGACTACCGCCGAGTCGCCTATATTGGGATCCTAAGTTTCTGGAAGCGCTCCCCTGATCGGCCCCGACAAAACTTCCGTGGACGACTGCGGCACCGGATGAATTTTCGCCGAACTGGACTTCAGCAACGATGTTGGAAGAATCGATTTCACGACCACAAGCAGAACAGAAGCCATCAGTAATTGGTGCTAACGGGTTAGAACAGTGCGGATTTGGACAGGGTTGTCGATCCGAGGAAGGTTTGTTTTGTGAAGCAGGAGGCGTCATAGGCGTAGGACTCATTCCCATGGCCCTCATCTGGTTTCGTTGTAAAACCTCTTTTATGCGATCTCCAGGACCAACTCCCCTGGGCCTGAACTGGACGCCAGTCTTCCGCGAAGACACCTTCGCAGATTTTAGAAATGATGACATGATCAGGGAATGTGGAAGTAAATATGGTATAAGAAAGTGTATAAGTGAACGGGCATAAGTGTAAGTGATTTAAGAAAGTGATAAGGGGAAGCAGTCCAATTGCTATCGTGAAGAATTGCTATCGTGAAGTGATCCAGCAATGCAATCGCCAATTAGGGGAATTACTGGAGACGTCGTCCTAGAATGCTGGGTTGGATATAAGTGAATTGAATAGAATATCCCGAGGAAGCGGATCTGATATTGATAGGATTGGCTTGTATAAGTCGCTTGTGAGAGTGGATGGTCAAAATCGTTAAAGGGCTGGGGGATGTAGTCAGAAAAAAAAGACGACTTGAGGATTTTAGTGGGTCAAAAAGTTGGTGGGTTGAAAGAAGTCGGGGTCGTGTGGTCAAGGGGTGTGATGTCCAAAATTGATTAAAAAGGGCGCTGAAAAGATTCAGTCTAACTTGGCTTAAAGTTTTGCTGACTCATCCAAGTAGCTTTCAACTACAAACGAGTGACGGTTCGAATTCGGTTGGGGACGAGATTAGAGTTTTTTTATCAATACTTTAATTTGTTGTAGATCTACCACAATACAATTGGCACCGATAAACGATAGCGAATCTACGAAGTACTGATTAATAATTTTAATATTTGAACGAAATGAAATCCACCTTATATGCATATTTTTAATACTTGAATGATTCCTGTTGTATTCATCCATCTAAGATATTATGAAATCTTTCAGTGTCGTCATATCAATCACCAGAGCTTAAGCTGCGACATCTTTCACCTAGAGCCAACCCCTAACAAATATAATAATGGACGGTCTCGACGAATTTGAAAAATCCCTCGCCGCAGAGAAAGCCGAGAGGGAACGCGGAGACGAAAAAAGACATAAGAAGCACAGACATCACCACAGACGAGATCGATCGTCCGAACGCGACCGCGATAGTCACCGCCATAGCCACCGTAGGTCGCGCGATCGTCACGACGAGGAAGATGATGATGGCCATCTACGCAAGCGATCGCGTCACTCTAAAGATGACGAGCATCACCACAGACGCGAACATCATAAAGATGCCAATCGCAATTCGGACAGACGAGATCGCCACGTGAAGGTCTCAGACGCGAAAGAAGATCTACCACTACCCGACGAGGAGCTAGCTGCAGAAGACTATAATAAGCCAGAAGGGACTACTTCAAATCTAGTTCGAGATTCTTGGATGACGGCGCCGTCCGCACTGGACATTGATTATACTCAGAAAGGCTCGAAACTTTCTAAACCTCCACCACCGCCCAGCCAAGCGCCACAAAGGGAAATTCACAAGCGAGAAATCAATGCGGCGCATCTACAGGAATTAAACAGCGGGAAATCCGTAGAGGATCTTGAGCTACCAGCACAGCACGAAGTTGACTACACATTCGGCGATGGCGGGTCGCAATGGAGAATGACCAAATTAAATGGTGTCTACAATACAGCCGAGCAGACCGGGAGGCCTGTGGATGAAGTGGCATTAGAACGGTATGGTAACCTACGGGACTTTGACGATGCGCGCGAGGAGAAAATCGAGGTAGATCGACGTAAAGTCTACGGCGATGGTTATGTCGGCAAAGAGAAACCCAGCGGTGAATTGTTCCAGGAGAGGAAGTTAAGTCAGGGTATTCACGAGAAGCGAAAAGCCTCGCCAGCACCGACGAGTCTCGACCAAGGCACAGTTATTCCTGATGATGCATCGGCTCACGTATCTACCCAGATCGACCAGACTACGCTCAACCGGCTTAAAGCACAGATGATGAAAGCGAAGCTGAAAAAGGCGCCAGATGCCGCTAAGCTGGAAGCTGAGTACAACCAGGCAGCAGCAGCATTCATATCAAAGGGTCCAGAAGCAGTTGTTCTTGGCGTCATGGAAAATCGCATGTTAGCGGGAACACGCGGCGAGGCTAAAGCTATCGAAACCAAGCGAGGCCGCGAGAGAGGGAATGTAGAGCAAAACGACGACATGACAATAGAGGACATGATCCGGGAGGAACGGCGAACACGGGGACAGGCAGGAGGAGAAGGGTTACGATTAGCTGAACGAATTGCCAAGGACGTCAAATTCGACGATGATCTCGAATACATGGACGAGAATGCCGAGAAGCTAGCCAAGCGCGTGCAGAAATCCGAGATCAACCTCAAGAACCAGGCCGTCGGCGAGTTCCAGCGGGTCAACAAAATTCTAGACAACTGCCAACTCTGCCATCACGAGGATCGCAACCAACCACCCATTGCGCCTATAGTCTCGTTAGCAACACGGGTCTATCTAACATTGTCTACGGAGCCAGAGCTAAGCGAAGGGGGCGCCGTTATCGTTCCCATCCAGCACAGGACTAACCTGTTAGAATGCGATGATGACGAATGGGAAGAGATCCGTAACTTTATGAAGTGTCTCACGCGGATGTACCACGAGCAGGGTCGAGAGGTTATATTCTACGAAAATGCGGCAGCGCCTCACAGACACATGCACGCCGCTATGCAAGCTGTCCCTATCCCATATGATTTGGGAGACACCGCGCCGGCTTTCTTCAAGGAGGCGATGCTCACGACGGACGAGGAGTGGACGCAGCACAAAAAGATTATCGATACGGGAAAACGAGCTCGAGAGGGGCTAGGCAAGCTGGCATTCAGGAGATCTATCGCTAAGGAAATGCCATATTTCCACGCATGGTTTACTTTGGACGGAGGTTTAGGTCACGTGGTAGAAGATTCTAACAGGTGGCCCAGGGGTGATCTATTCGCAAGGGAGATCCTAGGCGGTATGTTAGACGCGGAGCCGGATGTGATCAAAAAGCAGGGACGGTGGCACAAATCTGACAACAGGGTGGAGGGGTTTAGAAAGCGCTGGAAGAAGTTTGACTGGACCAGAGTGTTGACTGACGGATGAGATTCTGACTATCATGGGACAAAATGCTGGTAGGATGACTTGGATGATATCCGTCATGAAACAGAATCAGACGTTGAGGATTAACTGTTAAGCAGCGAAGGATTAAACTGTTAAGCAACAAAGCACATCTGTGATTGATATTATGAAGCATCAGCCACCCCTCTTCGTCCGTTGAGCCGTACCTAATACCTATACACTACAGTTATATGTGTCTGATGCCATACGGAGAGAAATACGTACACAACCGGAGTAATCCCTGTAAATATATTGATATGTGGAGATCAACGAGGGGCATTTCCTTAACTGCTCAGCTGCCCCGCTTCAGCTTGTGTTACTATGTACATGAGAGATTGTTCCCCCTTGCTGGCAAGTTGGGTAGGTAGTTGCAGGTGCCTAGTAAATACAAGACCTAGGGAAGGTACCTTGTTGACGATGATATCACTGCTTTCTAGCTCTTAGTCGAAACTACCTTTATCGAAACGACTTTACGACCTCAAAGAACAAACCCAATTACCTTAAGACAGTTCCTATCTGCATATACCTGCAGCCTAAAGATTCCTATCTTGGTAGCACGATACAAGAAATTGTTTATTATCCTGTCGAAATCATAACTTGGAATCCTTTCTCCTGCCGGCTATCAGTCACCACCACCAACACCAACACCAACACCAACACCAACAAACGCCACCAGTTCTAACCATAGGTATTCCCAACGTCTACACCTCCATATTCCAAGTCGTCACCCAGATACTCTACCACGATGACTTCCTCCCAAAAGCGCATAGGCAAGGTAAGTAACAAACACCATCCATACCAAATCCCCCTCCAAATATCTTATCTAACCTCACTCCCAACCCAGGAACTCCAAGAATGCATGTCCTCCCCCCCAACCGGAATGGTCATAACCCTCCCCTCCGAATCCGACATCCACCACTGGACCGCGACTCTAGCCGGCCCCCCCGGCACCGTCTACAGCGGCGGCATCTACGTGCTATCCATCGTCCTCCCCCCCGACTACCCCTTCAAAGCGCCCCAAGTAACCTTCTCGACGCGCATCTACCACCCCAACGTGACTAACGACAGCGTGGGGTCTATCTGCCTCGGCATGCTGAAGCCCGAGAACTGGAAGCCGGCGAGCAGAGTCCGCGCCGTGCTCGACGCCGTGCGCCAGCTGCTCATCGAGCCTAACCCGGACGACCCCCTCGAGCCCCGCATCGCCGACGAGTATAAGAACAATCTCCGCGAGTTTGAGAAGACGGCTCGCAGTTATGTTACCCGCTATGCCCAGCAGCCTGCTAAGAAATAGGTAGCTGTGACTTACGTATCTGGCAATTATTTAGCAGCCTGGCCAAGAGAGGCTGGTGGGGAGGATTACTAGTTGGACAGGTGGACGGATAGATATCCCCCTTTCTCTTGCCATGAGCGAGAGTAAACGAGCGTGGTACCCTAGGAAAAATTCTCTGGGAATGGTCACATCGGGATCCAGAGAGGGAGAAGCTGCTTGTCAAAACAACACGAGTAGAGACTAAAACCCGAAGACTAGGGTCAGTCAAAATCCATCATTTTTCCTACACCATTTTCGGAATGTAATTATGGAGGACGAGGCAGGAATTAGGCACGGGGGCATTATGAGAAACCTCTAACGATTCATGAAAAAAGACATTCGACACGTTAAGAACACTTCACGAATATGGCGAAATAATTACGATAAAGCTAGTCACTAACAAAGTTATTTATAATGTTCAACGTAATCTGTTGTATTGATCTTTGGAGCAAATGCTTCTGCAAGCCGGATTTCCTGGCTGTGGTTTTGCGTATTCAGTGAATGCATATGATGCGCCGCCATTCGATGCTATATAACCTGCCCCTTTGTAATGCAGTATGCTCTGTCTAGTATTTTTTCCGAACCTTAACAATGCAAATCATATGGATAAGCCCATTGATGGTATCCATATTACCCACGCCAAATCAGTTTGGTTTACATGTTTCTTGTCCTCCCGAAAAATATGAGGTCTTTGCGACTTCCAGCTCTGCCCTGTCGGGTAACGAGAGCGTAGGAATCAGTCCGCCTCTAATGAAATATAACCTGTATCCTTTCCCTTATACAAATGAACTTGTTCTGTCCAGACCACGAACACAAAGGTAACACATATCTGCTTCCTATCTCTATGGTATTCCTCCGCTGGAAGAAAAAAAAACTGTCGTATCATGAGATTTCGTCAATGCCTATCCATGCTGAAAATAAAGGGACGCCATGATAGACAAAACATAAGATTGCAGATTCCTGCTGCGTTTGAAAATGGGTTTGCTGTCACAACCCGGATGCTTCGTTCGGGGTTGTCGTCTGACCGTGGTGGGCGAACAGAATTGACAAAAGAGATTTGCCCTGGTAATAAAAACGACGATTCGGGTGGGAGACTAGTCCGCCATAAGCTCGACCGCGTTATCTCCGTCGGCCGAAAAGGTTGCCCTTCTTCTTGAAATCTGAATCTATCGAAACGATATTGCCTGTTTGCTTTTCTCGCTCGGCTTTAACTTGAACCCGTCTTTCTTGCCTCTTTTGCTCCACCGTTTCTTGGCTGAGATGGCCGAAACCGTTACGACGCTTGAAGCAGGCTTCTATTAAAGCGTTGGCGTCGATAAGCCTGCGAGGGATCGTCTGCACTACCTGGAAGATCTCCATAGGATCTCCCACGCTCTTGATCTCGTTCTCGCCGATCTTAAAGATTGCTAAAGCAATTCGAAACAGCGTTTTGGATCCCTCGTAAAAGAAAACGTCCCATACACGCAAAGTGCTCTCGATGGGTAAAGTACCGATGTAACAGCTCATAAACCAAGCAGTCATACAAAGGGTAATAGGCGGAAGTCGAGTCGTTTCGGCTCGATGTCTGTGCCTCCAGCTCTTTGCCCATACGACATCCGTACCGTCCAGCTCGCCACCGATCTTGGCCCAGACGTTGGGCATAGATTCCCTTAACGAGGACATGAGCACTCCGAGATCAACATTCGCGCCTTCGAGGCTCGTCTCGTGCGTCCCGGGAAGATATACGCGGGCTATGATATTTAGTAACCAGAAGGCGTTTTCCTCGCTTTCTACGAAGAGCAGGAGTAAGCCTGCTAAAAAGTTGAGGGACTGGCAATATCCGATCTTGGGATTGTAGATGGCAAAGGCGTGCAATACACGGCGCAGAGATACGATCATCGGCTTCTCAACGACGGGGGTGATGCCCTCGGTCTCTTTCGCAAGTGCTTGTTCACTGCCATCGGAGAGGGAAACGGGACCAGAGCGAAATTTGATATTATCCGGAAACGTACGGTGCAAATCACGCTCGATCGCCTCGACGTCCACACCCTTGGCTTTTTGTTTCAAAAGGCCATCATACAGACCGGCATGTTTCGCAACAACGGCAGGCCCACCAGCGTAATAGAACCAAGCAGCGCCCCTCCAATCGGGAGGTATTCCCTTACGTACAAATCGCTTCGTCTTGTTAGATCGAGGAGGGAACCGGTTAGGCTTGTCAGTCATCAGCCCGTGTTCCCTAAGAAAGGCGGTCCACTTTTTTCGCCTCCTCTCTAGGTACTCGGTATATCCCTGGTTCCAGTTATCATACTGCTCCCGGTTAATGTATTGATTGCTTTTCCGAAACCCGTAGCGATCTCGCTCGTCGTCGTCCTCCGCGATAGTCGATACGGTCGGGTGGCGCGAGGGGGGCAAGGGGCTGTAGCCATCCTCAGTATCATCTTCAGTCTCGGCGCCCGCATCCGCATCCGCCTCCGCGTCGATTAATATATCAACTGTCTCGCCATCCGTTTTAGTAGAATGCCGAGTGGAGTTCCGAGTAGAATTCCGAGTGGAATTCCGCGTAGAATTCCGCGTAGAATTCCGTGTAGAATTCCGTGTAGAGGTACGAATAGAATCCAAATGGGTGCTCTCCAATATTTCGGGCATCTCAGGCATCTCTTCGGATATCTCCTCAGGCCCTTCCTCAGGCCCTTCCTCAAGCCCTTCCTCAGATAGTTCTCTAGACACTTCTCTGGACACCTGTTCAGATGAGGAATCGTGTTCGTCAGGATCATGAGAAATAGAAACAGAGTCCTGCTCGACTTGGCCAGAGTCAGAAGTCGCGTCTGGTGATTCCGGAGTTGGTAGAAAGACAGTCATCGCGTCCAGCATAGCAGTTCTCCTCCTACTCAATTCTGATTTTGCAGTGCCCGGCCTCGAGTCCACCATCTCATTGTTGTCCTCGGGAGCTGAGTCGTCGTAGAAACCCTTCTCGTACATTCCCATTATATCGTTAATACTAAGCGAATCATCGGCCGCTCCGTAGACCGAGGTTCTAGAACTGCTCTTAGTCGCGATGCTACTCCTTTCAGTTATTGCCGTCCCCTGGGCCGTAGACGCCGAGAGTTGGGATCGATAACTTGATCTAAGCTCCTCGCTCGGCAGAGATGCCATCCGATGGATGGGGTCCCTCGAGAAACTCGGTCCGGTACTTTCGGCACGGTTGTACGATAAAGGGTATCGGGTGGGCGGAGGGTGCGGCGTTCGGCCTCTGCTCCGAAGATGCTCTCGACTGTGCATTTCAGGAGGAGGTCGCCCGGGAACGGAGGAAAAAGTCGCAGCGGATATGTTGGACGAGATGGATTGGCCGCGTTCTCGCGTCCACGATAGAGGGTGGCCGGGTGAGATGTCGAGATGGCTCGGCTCGGTTGGAAGGTGATTAGTAGCCATGGCACGAGGTGATTCGTTGTAAGGCTGTTTAATGCTCGGTTTTCGAGGCCTCGAGAAGTTATCTACGCGTGGCGTTTCGGGGGTGCTCATCTTGACGGGTGACGATGGGAATTCATCTCTAATCTCGGAAGCAAAGTGTATCTCGTCGGTCGCGTTCGAGGATCTGCTATGGAGGCTGCTGACGGCCGGAGACGTAGGGCTAAGAGTGGCAGAACGGTCGTAGCCTAGAGAATCCCACCGAGGGGACAATGGGGAGTTTGGTAACGGTGGTATTTGAGGTGAATGATCCTCTATGGTATGACTAAAATGCGAGTACGAAGTAAGGACGGTAGATGGGGTAGAATGAGCAGTGGAAGGGGCGTTTGTAGTGATTGTTGAATCTTCGAATTCATTGTCTTCATCAGCATCGTAGCCATCTTTGTCGCTGTAATGATGACTGAAGTTGCTGGCGTTGGGGAAAATTGGACGAACCGGGGTGTGTTTCGAATCCTGGGCTCTTGAAGCATGCAGGCCAAATTCTTGAAGCTTCATGCCGCGCTCAGGTCTAACACCAACCCTAGCCGATAATACGTCTGATCTCAAATCTGATCTAGGGCTAGGTTGCGTCACACCTCTACTAGCACCTCCGGGTTTTCTATGTCGTTGTTGAATATCATATGTCATTGCAGCAGGACCGTCTTGTTGCGAATCGTCGGCCATAGTTCCTAATGTTCGCGCCATTGGCCTGTGGGCCAAGCAATCTAGAACACCGGCAGCTCCCCTATGTATGCAATTCCCACTTTACCTAGCGATCCCACAGCTAGGAACCAAGCAGGCTGATACAACGCAGCGTTAAAGTGGAATTTGCTTAGGCATAGAGATGATCTTAACTCCAACCTACAGTAGGTACCTTTCCGGTTGCAGAAACGACAGAATGACGAACAAGGTCCAGCTGAACGAGTATTGAATTGGGGAATTATTGGGTATGCACGCACGGGCACAAACCCCTAGTTACCCTCGTGACCCTCGTGACCGATATTCGAGACAATAGGGAGGAAGATGGAACGAACGAATGAAATAGTCGGCGGATGTTGAACGAATGTTACGAATGTTGTTTAGAAGCCTCCTTGACATTTACGGGAGAAAAGAACGTGATGCGAAGTAATTGATGGGATTCAGGTCCGTTCCATAACGGTGGTGGCTTGCTTTATCGGCGTGGTACAAATAAATGAGACGTGCTAGGTCTCTCGAGTTATGCGTCCTCCCGTTGCGTTGGAGTAAAAGATTGGAGGCAGATTGGAGAGACTCGGATTAGTTGAAGGTAGTAAAGTCGATGCAACGAGACGGCGGGATCGGTTCGGTAAATGTTTGGCTAAGCTAGAAGAGTAGCCCAGATATTGTCTTTTCCATCCAGAATCTTTAATTTGTCCCTACGATCGAGACGAAATGATCGACTATGGAAAGGTATATGTTCGGCAGTCTGTATGTTCGGTGTCTTATTGTCGAATAATTGAATGAAAAGAGACACCAATAATTTGGAGATTGTATTTGAGATTGTACTTTAAGGTAAAGTTACCTCCTAAGTTTAGGTATTTAGGTACTTCTTTGCCTAAGGCATGCAGCAAGCAGGTACAAGGTACAATGATCGGCAGTGACTGTAGTGGATGCTGTAAGTATTTCTACAGGCGGTCGGTGGCTTCCGTCGGTGACCCAAGGTACAATTACCTTTTCCCGACAGAAGGTCCAGTTAGGTTTAGAGATGTAGCTATCGACCGCCCGGTGCAGCTGTCGTCCTTTAAAGGTATTATACCAAAAATAAGGTTTCGGTTAGGTAAACCCTTCAATAAGACAAGGTTAAGCTCATAACCGCCAGGCGTCTCGAGAATTACCGACGGTGACAAGTCCCGATAAATAGGTCCCGATAAACAAAGATTCTGAATCACATTGAAAATTTTTAAGAATGAAGTTTCTTCGATTCGGTGGAATCCATCAAAAATGTCCAAAATCTTCTTCTGATCAAATCCTCCGCTCATGCCGTGGATACCGTCCAGGTGGCAGACACTGTACTACTATGGTCATAGTATGTAATCGAAATTAGTCTTAGCGGACGCGGAACGGGCTGTGATCCGTCCAAGGAACAAGGTTGTTTTTAGCGGGTACAAACCCAGCTTATCTCATTGGCTAGCTTAGTCTTGGAAACAACAAAAAGGGTAACGAAAAAGAACATTAGAAGGAGCTGATTAGGCTGACATCATATACCTTGACCTGGGAAACATTGTAATTTCCCAATGACTGTTATAAACATGCCTGACACGTAGCAAATGCCTGAGCTCGAGGACGAATAATCCGTATACCCCGAGCTAACAATCTTTTCGAGTTCGTTAGCGATCCGAGCCCACGGCCGAATTGCTTTTGTTGCCGCGAGTTCGGTTATTACTTCAGGATGTCTCTGGTAGACAGATTACAAGTCCCTTGCACCTAAGCATACTCATACATATATGCTTATGAACACATGCATATGGGAATATTAAATTTGTCATAATTCAGACATTAATCCTATAACGAAATATAGTTAAAATGTTACGGGATTCATGGCCGGTAGTTTCGGACTTCCCAATTTGAAATTTCAAGGCAAGATGCTATATCAAGTTAAGCACAAAATTTGCACGTTCAAGTAGGTACTCGCTCAAGTCGAAGGACTGGGTTCAGGTGCTGAGCAACAACCTGGTTTAGGGATTTCCGAGGCTACGGGTCAGGGGCACAGCTGAGCATCCTAGCGCTGGTAGCACTTTTGCTGAGCAGCCGGCAGCTATTGTCCACTTTATTTAGCAATGTACATCCACTATGCATGGGTTGTGCAGGGGGATTAGGTACATACCTATTTATGCAGGGGTGAGGTACGGTGGAATATTTTAGACGAGCCGGTGAAAGAATGGACCTTAACTACGAAGTACCTAGGTACATAACCTAACCTAAGCAGCCTAGGCTAGGCTTAACCAGCGGAATCCGGATTCAACATCTCACAATGACAAATGACAGATCTTCATCTGACCATCATCAACAGTAACAACAAATTTTCCCAAATTATTCAGCTCCAGGATCATGTAGAAAGGATTGCTTATCAACATTCTCAACCATTTCCGCCTACTTTCAACACCTTCGCCCGGTAGCTTTACATTGTCTTCAACAAAGGGCACAACCCGCCCACGATAGTATGTGTTACTTTGGCTGCTGAAGCACTACTCGCAACGCCTCCGTTTTATCTGTTTTGATAGATGATGGCGTGTGATAGCAGTTTACTCGAAATTGGATATTCAACGCGTATTTTACGCGTTTCCTTGGCTCCTTGGCCTTTTTCGCCATAGGTTCCATCGTGACGCGCACACGTATCAATATCACAATCAGTTGCCAAAGTTCTGCTGCTTAGGTACGATACAAGTACTTATCCTCTCTTGGAAATGCGGCGGGACAGTCTGTCCGATCTCCGCTTAGGGGAACATATCCGTTGCGACCGTGAAATTTTACTCGGGTTCTACCATGCGACTCACGAACATAGGTACTATACGCATACTATATACCCAGGACGATAGGTTCCTCTTATATGTCGCATCGATTGTCTCGCTGGCTAGCAAATATACGTATATACCTCTACTTATAGTGCATCTGAGTAAGGTGAGTACCAGAACCAAGGTAGGTATATTCTACATTTATCTATTTGACTCTCCACAGGTATATTCTAGCCGTTTGGTAGAGAATTAGCCGTGGTGGGCACATTATCGGCTTTTCATTATATTCCCTCTCGTGGGTATCCGAGGAAAGAAAATCCAGACGCTCGCGAAAGCTTGTCGCATGCGTTTCGAAGTTACAGTACATACGCAGCACACGCAGTAAGGCTGCGCATCCTAAGCTTCACGGTTAATTAAACCAAGTGGCTTATAAAATGAGGGGAAGAGCAAGTTCCATAGAAAGGAGGGAGGAATGTGGCTGGGCTGTCTTAGGTCGGGAGCTCTTCTCTGGCGGAATCGTCATCAATCGGTCAAATTGGCAGCAAAGTCGATTCTTTTTGAGCTTCCCGGATCAGATCGAGCCATGACCAGGATATGGTCCGAGTCCCACACCTACCTGCGTGCTACTTACCTTCTACCTGCTGAGCCTTAACTGACTTTGGTCTTTGGTGGCTTCTTGGATGCGCGTGCTAGGTAGTTCCATAATGACGGACACCCATCCTGCAACTATGTAGGGGTAGAAGAGCAAGAATGGGCATTGCGGTAGCAAGCAGCAGAAGCTCTCAAAGCTCCCCCGTCCGACCCCCTCTTCCCTCACTCACTCATTCCCTCCTCCAAAGCTCCCCAGCTCCAAGCTTACCTACCAGTCCCCTCCCCTCTCACACTCGGCGCTCTGCTCCCCCCCCTTCCTAAGCAGCCTTTCCCCAAGCACAGCGGCCAGCGTTTCCCTCCCTACCACCCCATCTCTCCCCCTTCTCTATTCTTTCTTCCCTCCTTTTTCTCTCCTCCTTTCCCATATTTTTTTCGTACGAATCTCATCCGTAGTTTTTCTCCTGTTCATCAATCCGCCAGCCCGGATTCCAATTTTCCATCGAGAAACTCTCCCCAAACTTATTTCAAGCCCCAAAACATGACTTCTCGGAAGAGAAAGCAGGAGGAAGAGGAGGAGGAAGAGCTCGTTGCTCTACCTAGCGATGAAAGCGAAGAGGAAGAGGAATAGTAAGTTGTTCATTATATTTCACCAGGCGACGCCTTCATAGCCGCGCAAGGTCGGGAAATTCGTCAAAGAAGGTTTCTTGTCGCAAAAGATGCGCCGGCGTCGCATTTGCTGTTGGTATCGTCGCGCATACCCGCGCAATGTCGCGAACATCTTACCTTAGATGCCACGTTATTCAATGCGTCCAATTCTTCATCTTAAGATGCATCGCCTGCTAGAGAGTACATGTTAACCCTCTATCCAATAGTATATCGGAAGGCGATGAAGATGATGATGCCGACGATGTTGAGGATGACGAAGAAGAATATGACGAAATAGTCGAGCCTGAAGAGGAAGAGGAAGAAAAGAATGGTGTAAAGCGTGAGTTGATCCCCTTACGGTCTTATTGCTTGATGGGACCTACCCATCTTGACTAACCAATTCAAAAGCAGCACCAGCTCAAGCTCAACCCGAAGCCCCTCCAAAGAAGAAGCTGAAGACAGTAAATGCCTCAACCGAGCCTATTCCCATCGTCAAGAATGGCGAGGAGGAGGAGGGCGAGGAAGAGGAGTTCGATAATGACGATCTTGAGGACGAGGATGACTTGGAGGACGTAGAAGAAGGAGAAGGAGAAGAAGAACGATATGATGACGAAGAGGGTGTCGAAGATGATGAGGAGAACGGCGTTGACGAACCTAAGAAATCGGGCGTTCACGTCGATCTGCCTACCAATGGCAAGACCCACGCAGTGAAAGAAGTTGCTGCCAACGGCGATGAGGCTGACGACTGAGTTTCTTCATACCGTCCTACCCCAGGTCGAAGAAGACAATTTTGACATCTACTCCGAGGACGTCAAGCCTGGTGGCTACCACGAGCTTCCGATGTTTTGTCCTCAGTTAATCATTTCACTGCGATCTTCTGCCAACCCATCCCCATGATACAGATGTTCCCTTTCCTATTTCATCACTGTTTGTTTCGTCAATGGCATAGAAGGATTCTTGTGTGAATTCAACAGCACATTTAATGGAAAGGGGTCAAGATTTTTTGCTCTCGTTAATTCTCGATAAGAATTCATTTGGATGACGTTTGATTTGAGTGACATGTAGTTTCAATGTCTATTGATTTCCATGACCTTGCGTATTCATAGCAAGCTTTGTAACTCTGCGCGGAGCAACTTTGGCGATAGGCGTTATATCTCATCGATCCATGCTATATCAGCCATATAATGTACAGACAGTTAACACATTAAATTTGTTCGCGAACGGGGTTGCGATACACTATATATATCTCATTTCATGCCTTTTCTCGACTCGACCTCGTACCCCACAACCCCACGTTCGGCTTGAAACTAGAACCAAGGGGGAGGTTGACAAGTGTTCATCCACCTCCGGTTGGTCGGAAGCGACCAGTGAATGCGGCCTAACGAGAAGAAACGAGCTCGATTGAGCGAGTGTAAGGCTAGGGACCCACTCGTAATGTTCGTTTGCGAAGAGATGCTGGCGTATCACCTACGAGATTGAAGGCTATGACGCGCGTGATGCGAGGTAGAGATGAGTATTGGTGATGAGACGGTTGGGCTGGTAGGTATCGTGGGCTTATATCTACCTTACCTATAGGAAATTATAGATCTACGGCGCGAGACTCTAGAGCGCATTTGATTGCTGCTCTTGGTCGTATCGCTTATACTTGCGCGCATAGGAAAGTGATCAGTAATTTCAAAATCAACTACACTAGATGATTTAGATTTCTGTATACGAGTGATTCTTAGTGAGTATATCCCCAATTCATCTCTATCTTCAAGTAGGCTACGACTACATAATTATGTTTAAAATATCCAACGTGACTGGCTTTGACCAAGTCCAACGAGCTTTCGTAGATTACCTTGGATATATGCGATTCTTCAACGTAGAAGGGCAACGATTGAGAACCATCACACACCTAATCATCGGATATGAGCCTGGGCCTATTTCTATCGCGCCGCTCAACTCTTAGCTACGTAAAGAAAAACCCAGGTTAGTCCCACGATACATCTCAGATGGTACTTGTGCGGAAGCAAACGTTCTGCGCCGCGACAAGCAGGACGCAAATGAACAGGTCAGCACTAACTAGTTCAAGCGATTATCGCTATGCGACGATCGGCCGTGTTGACATGCCATTGAAGGCAAGGGAAGTCCTACCGCCGAATATAACTCCAAACCCGTTTTATTACCAGACGATCCCATCCTAATGATATCTATCCCATTTACGCATTTACGCAGTCGGCCCGGCTCGACATCTTATTAGTTCCCATTCCTCTTCCGTTGCCCTTTAGTCGGGTGTAAGACATGACTTGGATGGATGCCCTGTATGTATACTACATAATATTTGGGTATGAATATTTCTACAGCAAACGCCTTGTTAGTAGTGCTCTTTTCTCAACTGCCTCTCCCTAGATTTTAGAGACACTAGGGATAGAGTATGAAAGTAAAACATCTATACAAGAGTAAATATCACCTTGTACTCTACGTATCGTGGTCTATCTGTGACTTGTATCTTTTTAGAGATTCCGAACGTAAAGGGCAACGTTTATCATGATTAGTAGGCCGACGGGAATAGTTGCCAGCACGTGTTCAATAGTACAGTAATATCATCGTCGCCAAACGAAACTACATTGTAATAGCTTGTAATTGTTGGGTATCTACGGTAATCTAGTTGGGATTTCGCCAACCCCTTGTGCTTGCAAGTTTTATCATTCGTCTAATTGTATATCGCCGCTTATCCTTCCTCGGCGTCCATAGCATCATGTCGTCTTTTCCCGGAGCCTTTGCCGGTATGGCGACCTCTCAGGACCGAACCCTTGTTACCCCGGTCGTCCATTAGATGCTTCATCTCATTACGCGAGTGGCGTTGAGCCTCCTCGACTCGGCGCTTGAAAACCATGACCTCTTCCTTGTTAGTCTCGTATTCTCCTAATTTCTTACCTAGAGCTGCCTCAATTCGCTGGTAGATTTCAAGATCGTACTGCGTGACTAGACTTAAGGCTTGGCCGGCATTTCCCGCACGCGCGGTTCTTCCGACTCGGTGAATATATGTTTTACCTATAAGTCTCTATTAGCAAGCATTCTACGACCCAAGTTAAGCCGGGAGTACTCTAACTAGACCCTCTAAAAAGGGGCAAATAGGGGGTACGGAAGGGTTAGCTTACTATCTTGAGGTAAATCGTAGTTAATTACGACATCAACTTTGGGTATATCTAAACCTCGCGCGGCAACGTCAGTCGCGACTAGGATATCACGCGATCCCGATTTAAACTTGTTCAAAGCACCCAATCGCGCAGATTGTGACAGTTGACCTGCAAAACAGAAAGTCAGCAACCGTAAAATAGCAACCAAAGTGATTTCTAACTGACCGTGGAGAGGAATTGCTCCGAACCCCAAGTATCGAAGGAAGATTGCGACCCTCTGAGTTTCGTAGACAGTCCTTGTGAATATTATGGTAGACCGTCCGGTAAACTCGCTTGCTACAAGGAATATCAAGTATGTGTCCTTGTGCATATGCGGTATGAAAAGATAGTACTGCTGTAGAGTTGAGACAGTCTGGTACTTGTTGCTGCTGATACTGACGCGCAGGGGGTCTCGTAGACTGGCTCTCTGTAGGCTTTCGACCTTTGACGACATGGTAGCGCTGAAGAGAAACGTGCGCCTCTCTCTCGGGAGGAACTTGAGAAGTTTGTCGAGTATGGGACCGAAATCCATGTCTAAGAGTCGGTCGGCCTCATCGATAACCAAATATTTCGTATTTGACAGTTTGAAGCCCTTCGTCTTCTCAAGATGATCCAACAGTCGTCCCGGAGTGGCCACAACAATGTGAGGCTTTTTGGACAAGGCGATGGACTGGGGGACCATGTCCAAACCACCAACGATGACGGCGCATCTTACTGATATAGAAGCACCGAGGGCATCTACTGATTGGCCGATCTGGGCTGCAAGTTCGCGAGTAGGAGCTAATATAAGACCGAAGAAGGGCGAAGGTTTCTCGAGAAGGGCTTGGAGGATAGGCAGGACAAATGCAGCCGTCTTTCCGCTACCAGTCTCAGCCAGTCCTATGAGGTCCCTATTTTGTAGAGCAAGGGGAATCGATTGCGCCTGGATCGGCGTGGGGTTTTTGTAGCCAAGCGAGTGGCATGCTTCGACTAGAGTATCGACGATGCCCTATTCAATATCATGCTGTTAGGGAATTGTCCGGTGATTTTGGGGTTCAAGAACTGGATATGTGCGTACTAAATCTTTAAAGGTTTTCGGGGTAGAGTCGACAACAGAGCCCTCGACGGTCTCGGAATCGGGAGATTCATCTTGGCCTTCAGCGGCGGGCGATAACTTTCGTCTTTTCGTAGAAGACATTGTTAGGGGGAGACTATTGATATTCGTGAGGTAAAGGTGGGAATTTAAGCGAAATAAGTTGGTAGAATACTACAAGATGTTATTAGTCCAACAGAAAAAGTTCGTCTTGCTGTCTTGAATAAAGTTCGCGATCGGGCAAAAAGTTAATAAATCCGGGTACGAGATTCGATGCATGCGCATCCCGCATCTGCAAAAAATTGACCGCTTTCTCTTTTCGGTATCTTATCTTATCTGCGCAATGCTCCACATAGTATAAGGTACTAAAATCTTTCGGCACACTCTAGCGTCAGCATTAGTATACGATACTTGATATCTGTGGGGCTACCTTTTTTTCTGCCGTTCAATGAAGAAAAAAATACAGCAGCTTCTCTAGTTGATCTATTAATCTCTGGTCATTCTGCGCTTAAGCTTATACATTCATCCTACCTACAAGACGATTGATATTCGAAACGAAGGCATAGATATCTAACCTAGTCGCACAGAAATACCCAATTGACAATATATATAAATTGTATTCGCAATGGCTAAAAGTCGGACGAAGAAACGTACCCATGTCGGCGCAAGCAATCCCAAGCACAAGGCCCCTCTGGTAGGCCGCTCTGCTGTCCAAGATCCCAAGAGCATGGTCATTCGTATCGGCGCCGGCGAGGTTGGGTCAAGTATCAGCCAATTGGCGAGAGATGTGCGTCAAGTTATGGAACCTGGCACAGCTAGCCGTCTAAAAGAACGTCGCGCAAACCGTCTAAGAGACTACGTAACTATGACCGGTCCTCTCGGCGTCACTCACCTACTCTTATTCTCTCGATCCGAATCTGGGAATACGAATCTACGTATAGCTACCACGCCGCGCGGCCCTACCCTACATTTCCGTGTCGAGAAGTACTCTCTTTGCAAAGATATACGCAAAGCGCAGAGACATCCGAGAGGTGGAGGGAAAGAGTATATCACATCCCCATTGGTATGATCCTCTTTCTGACTTTACCTTTATACATATTGCTAACTTGCGGTCCGTCTTTAGTTGATCATGAATAACATCTCCACCCCCGGCGCAGACGCCAACTCTAAAGTCCCTAAACACCTCGAGACGCTCACTACCACCGTATTCCAATCACTTTTCCCCCGCATCAACCCACAGACTACGCCCCTCAAGTCGATAAGGAGAGTTTTACTTTTAAACAGAGAACCTGCTACGGACAAGGATGATGGCTCTTTTGTGCTCAACTTCCGGCACTATGCTATATCCACCAAGCCTGCCGGAGTGTCTAAACAGCTCCGTAGGCTCGATGCTGCCGAGAAGCTCTTTAGCGCCAAGAACCGGAAAGGCGGCGTCCCAAATTTAGGGAAGCTGGAGGATATCTCCGAATACATGATAGGAGGCGAAAACGGCGAGGGCTACGTGACGGACGGCACTAGTGGAAGCGAAGTGGACACGGATGCTGAGGTTGAGGTTCTAGAGGATGCGCCGCGTAGAGTTCTCTCGAGCAAGGCACGCGCGGCCAAGCTGGAAAGTGGAGATAACCCTATAGAGAGCGACGAGAAAGTAGAGCGACGGCGTGTTACCCTAGTCGAACTTGGACCTCGTATGAAATTACGTATGACTAAAGTCGAGGAAGGTCTGTGCTCTGGCAAGACGATGTGGCACGAGCATATCCACAAGTCAAGACAGGAGATACAGGATCTCGAGCAGCGATGGGAGAAGCGCAGAGAGGAGAAGGAAGCAAGGAGAAAGCAGCAGAAGGCGAATGTCGAGAAGAAAAAGAAGGAACGCGAAGCAAACGGTAGCAAGAGCAAAAAGGATGGAGCAGCCGGCGAAGATGAGGATGATGAGGACGTTGAAATGAATGGGTATAATAGTGATCTATTCGACGAAATGATGGAGGAAGACGAGATAGACAGCGAAGGATTAGCGGGAGACGCGGAAGAAGCAGTCGGCGATCAAATGGACGAAGATGAATGGGAAGATGAGAGGGAAGAGATTGCGGATGAAAATTAACCCTACGCTTTATCAGGGTTATAATAGTTGACGTAGGTATGGTGTCTGGCGCATTACGTTTACGCTGCGTAATATCATGTCTATCGAAGAGAACTCTTGATTTATGTCTGAAGTGTGCGGTGAGATACGAGTAGCTGTTTATGTTATGGCTTAAGGGATAGAGTTATTCAAATTAGAATAGGATGATTATAAAGATATGAGTACTCTTTAGGGCCTATACTAAATCTCATATAAAAAGGGGAAATTGGTATTTGGGTATTTGACTTGCCATATGTCTAATCATTACCCCCTTTAGACATTAGCTATCGAAGACATTCAGTATACATTTGAAAGTAAACTGCTTGGTATCATGAAATAATAGCCTGGCAGTGTGGTAGTATTTATATCTTATCATACGCTTCTGAGCAACGAACTTAGATGAGATGTCGAGGTTGGAAAGGTCGTAGGTTTAAGTCCTATCCGTGTTGTATCCTTTTTTCTTTTGAGTGATCTCTATGCCTGAAACGTAACCTCTGTTCAATATTTTTCTAGATCGATATTCAGCAAACTAGCGAAGAGAAATACGTCTACTGATCGTACCTAAACCACGGTGCTACTCCTTAACGTAGAAACCGCAAGATTTCCGTAGGTTATTAGTTAGAGCAACTGGTATAAGATTGTCTTAGGAATAGTAGATTCAGTTATAGTCAGGTAGCTAAGGTGTTATGTGCGACTATCATTATATCCCTAATATGCACAGATTATAGGCAACCGATTGTTCCATAATTGTCGTGATCATTAGTTATTAAAGTCACTCTTGATATATCATTTTGAAATCCCTCTGTTTCCGCTTCTGCTCTTCCTCACCATTTCCCATGTACTCCAAGCACTTATAACCATGAGTATAGGAACTCCCAGCCCAACGCCAACGCCAACGCCGAGTTTCCACTTGTTGTATACGTCTCGGCGGCCGATGTCGTTTTGCGCCTTGAGGAAACGCTCGATTACATTTATCACAACGATGAACCGATCTGACGTGTCGAATGAGGAGACAGATTCTTGCGGGTTATTGTTAATATCTGGCTGGTCGATGGTAATAACATTATTTATATTATTCCTCACGAGTTCTTCGGCTTCCCATCTGGACGCCGAGGATAAGGGTAAGGAGTTGATGATCTCGAAGGGATTGAAGACAACGTGGGAATCTGTTGTGTCTTTCCTCATAATTAGCGAGCTAAGCGTGAATAGGTAGGTAGGTAACAGCAAACTGTGTGGACGACGTGGACTTACTCAACTCCCACGATACGTTTTGGCTTAGATACCATCGAACGCGCACGGGAACATTGGCTCTTCTTTTATCCAGCTTCCAGGAGATTGTATAGTTCTTGTTCTCGATTACAAGTGCATAGTCAAGTGCCTGCGGATTAGAACTTCCCGGGTATGCGCCGTCTGGATAGTAGCAGCCTGACATATATCCTGTCATATATGGACCACACCATTTAAACGAGGTAAGACATAATAATGTGTTGTCAGGACAGTCTCGTTGAGAGGGGTCCCATCCGATAACAGAGACCACGAATACGGCTATTAAGATGGAGAGCGGATAGACCTTCATTATAGCTTGGTTGTGTCGGGTATAAAGTTGAAGTCAGAACATCGTAGCTGAAAGATGCTAACTTACCACGGTTTTTATAAATCTCACCTTTCTTATAAATCTCACCTATACTTTGGGGTTACAACCGGGAGACTTCATTTTGGCCGGCAGCATTGGGGTAACCAATGACGTGCGGCGTCAACGAAGGCTATGTAGCTTGGGGGGCGAATTAGGCTGACAACGATTGTTATTGCGTCTATGTCTTGGCGCAGTCGGGCGCGTAGGTAGGTCTAAGGCACAGTTCTCAGCTTTGCTGTAATGTCTACCAGCGTATCCCGATTAGACTGCTGATTGTCGATTGTCATAAGATTTCATTATGAAACAGAGGGCATTGGAAAGGTCGGATATTCAAACTTCACCATGCATAGTAATTAGATGAAAGAATATCTATATCCATCTAACTACTAGTGCTCATCGTATTTCTTAGTTATAGCTGTTCCTATGCTTTCAAGGCTAGCCTTTTAACGCCTTGCTAATCTATAATCACCTCGACTTATTGCTCTATTCCTGGAAGAGTATTATGGAAATAGGGTCTATAGGATGTAAAATATAGGCAAGTTTTTCTTCCGTGACTAGCGAGTTATACGATACGAGCTGTTATCGTGATGCCCGTATCTATACGCAGTCCTGTTCCGTTGGTAAGTTAAGCGGTTATACCCATAATAACCAAGTATACAGTCTTCAGTTATGACTTTTATTGAAGTGATTAGACTAGCTGAATAATCCACTAAACTTCCGTATGTGGTGAATACTTGGGAATTAGTGTATCTACTCATGATTGATATGTTTTGTTAGTTCGTATAAGACTTGAGTTCATCTAAATGAGTGAAAATGTTTAGAATGTTTATAAGGACCCCTTAGTCTGTTAGGTTAGAAATATTTGGCTTTTAGGTCGAGTATGGGGTGAATCACTTTTGCAATGGATCTGCTCCAGTCCTGTGGAAGTCGAGGCTCGTCCATCCGTTTATAATAGTATTGATCGTCCTTTGTATATTTTCCGTACATATAACGCATCTAAGGCACGGGAAGTTTGTTCGTGATATAATTTATACTTTGTTCAATAGTTGTTCCACTATTTCCAAAATTGTTGTTAATACGTCTTCTATTTCAGGACCAAGTTCCGTTCGGTGGGCCAAAGTATCCCACATCAGGCATTTGTAACCACGGTAGACCTTGGCCATCGGCGGTATTCTGCCATCTAAACTGTATATTAGCAAAGCTATAACTGTATAATCTAGAAGTATGTTTACTTACACCGTGTTTCCCCACCAATCAGGAAATTGTACGTTGGGTCCATACGTAACAGCGAAGAAAATGACGATGCCACTGATCGCGAGGCCACTATAATAACGAGTCAGTGATTTGTTTAAGAAGAAACTCGGGCCCCAAGTATGTTTCGGGAGCAGCAACTCTGGAGTTGCCTTGATAAGGAGACAGTGACCCTAGACAAGCCAAAAGGGGTAAAAGAAACCATCGATTTACATACGTGTCTAATGCCGCTGCAAGCACATAGTTGTACTTGGCCCACCAAGCGTAGAATCTTTTATAAATGATTTTGTTGAAGATTAGGTTGACAATATACCAACTGCTGTAGTTGATGCCTGTTGCCGGCGGGACGTTGTACGTGCCGACGAATATGAGCGGCCAGTTGATCTTGCGGACGAATTCGTTTCCGGTCTTCTTCCAGATGTAATAAGTAATCGGTGGTAGAATTAGTCCAATCCAAAAGAAGTGCAAGAGGCCGCTGTATATCTTGCCAACAGAGTATAGGCGCGCGGGTCCAACCAAACCCCAAATCACGGAACTGCTGTAAACGGTACGGCCTTGTGGGCAGCTAAAGCCGTTGGGTTGGTCCTCCGAGCAGATACCAGGTACGTTTCCTAACATCCACTAGATTATCTAGGATTAGCAAGACTTCCATACGAAATAGTATTGTGATGAACCGCGAACCCCTTTTAAAGAGTAATGCAGGTTTTTTTTTTTTTTTTTTTTTTTTTGAAATTACTTACCAGCGTGACGCCGACCTGCGTTATAGCACCGAGTATAGTAGCCAAGCCTTGCGCCCAGAACAGAGTGCGCGGCGGAATCTTCAAGTAATGGCCCATCTTCATGTCGGCAGCAAAATACAACCCTTGGCCCACCACGTCTTGCGATAGAATCTTAAACAAGATGTTTGCCACGGGCTTCCCCTGAAACATATACCCTCCTATAAATTCGGATAGGACGTTAAGTTGGTTCGCATTCACATTCGCCAGCCCCTGAATTATGCCGCAGGGGACCATGTAGATGCCGCCAATTGCAATAGCAAGCACAATTCCGTATACGGGCAACCCTGTGTGATATACCTCGGTCATGGCGACACTCATTCCGAATACGATGAGCACTATCGTAGACCACCAGTACCAGGGAGTATTCTTATAATTCTTCATAAGCCGTGCGTGAATGTCAAGCTTGAGAGATCCGCGTAGCGCATGCATGATTTCTTCCCAATGGAAACAGTAAACGTGTGACAAGACACTATTATTTCTCGTCAGAAATTGTGTTATGAAGTGCGCGGAAAGCCGGATTTGGGACTCACCTTGTGATGGATGCAAAAGAGAGACCATAAACGAACGCGAAAGTCGCCGGCAAATAGGGTGGTGAGTATGCCGCGTACTTCTCTTGGTCGAAATGATTATCAGTAATGACCCTCGCAGTATCGTAGAGCTCCCCAAAACGGTCGTACACGTCCGCAGTGCAGAGTGGCAAGTAGGACGTAAACCACGTATTAGTGTAATAGATAGCGGGCGTGATGATCCAGAAGAAAACGACAAACCCGACGAAGACGTTAGCAGCAGCCCAATGAGGACTAAGTAACGGATTCGTATTGTATACAACCATGGACCAATCAAAGGTCAACGGGAATAACCCTAGGCCTGTTACCATGCCGAAGATCTGATTTACCGCGAGGTTGTTGGGCGCAATCCAGCATATCCATGTGAAGTAACTCAGGCCGGTGAATATCAAACCGGGAAACCAATACCACACAAAAGCAGCTGTGCCCACCACCATAAAAAACTTGATACGAGTCATCTTCCACCCGTCAGCCGCTGCGTTAGCTCGAGAATGGATCGAGCTCAACAGTGCTACATTGCCGAGGACGCCTGGCCAGATCATGGTGGCGGGTTGGACGATCAGCCTTCTACAAAGACCGGCAATACCGTATCCGCACAGTTGACAACAAATAACGACCATGACCGAGAATCCAGGTGGCATATCGAAGCCGTAAAACTTGGAAGCCTGAATGAGGTTGGTAGCATCGGCAGAACCAAATCCAAAGGAGACGTTGCTCATGATAGTCACCATGGCATGCTCCTTGATGTTGAAATGGTGATCAGGATTGAATCGGCTGATAGGTAGTAACTTGGCGATGGTGACTCCGAGAGGGAAAGCCAGGAGTTCTGCAACAAGAGATACGACATGAACTCCCGGATAACGCAGCGAGAAGAACTGATTTACGCCTGCTCCTAGGAACACGAAAAACTGCCACTTGTCAACGAGATACCTATTAGAGCGGTTCTTGTGTTAAAACTTACGATGCCGAGAAACCATGCTCTGAAGGTATTTACGGGCATGTCGGGATCGTCCGTCTCAGGAACCACGGCCCGCACGGCGGGAAATGGGCTTGTGTCGGCATCCCAATCTCCCTCCTCTTCGGCCTTAGCAAGAACTTTGCCTACGTCGACTTCTAGATCAACCAGATGCCCGCCTGCAACCTCGATATCGTGATCCGGAGGTAGGTCATCACTGCCCTTCTTATCGATGTCGTTGACGCCCTTCTCTGGTATGATGATATCCCTCTGGACCGACATGGCGCAGACAGACCTATCCCGAGATGGCGATAGATGACAAGAAATACATAGGGTTAATTTGATGCGCCCACGTCTTGCATATTTAAGTCTTTAATGTTGGAAACCTCTGTAATCTTATCTATCTTTTCCGTTAACCCCTTGTTACCACCTGGGCACCTCCATACCCCAACTGGGGTATTTTGATGTTATCACAAAGGGTATACTTAGGTAAGATCAATCAGCCCATGGCCGACAACTTATCGTACTGTACAAGAGCCAGCCAATCAGGTGTTGCTGGTTTATCTACACCCCTCCTGCCTCTTTTAGTCTCGAGCCCGTATATACATATGTGGTATCAGATTGATAGTATTAGACAATTATGAACATAGCGTGGGCTGGTCTGTATTACGAAATTGCACTGTTGATACTATGACAACAGTATCGATCAGAGTTGAAGCCTCATCCGGCATTATTCGAACCCTGGCAGCCTGGTAACCGCTGGAATCTTTTTAATTATCATCCCGCTAAAGTAATAAAATTACCGAGGGTAATAATAAACCAACAATAACGCTGATATAACGCCAAAACACAATAATAATCGTCCTATCCAACAATAGACAAATCTATATATTTCTCTTTCCCGGAGGCGCCTTCTTACTATCTCCGCGGCCAACACCCGGTCCTCTACCCCTACCCCCCCTTCGCTTTCCCACATTAGCCGGTAGGCTTGTCTATCCCGGCTTAACCCAATACTGATTAGTACGTAAATATTAGGAAGGTATTTGGAATATTTAAAGATATTTTAAAGGCTTACTTGAGACTTCTGGCAGAGAGGTCCGTCATGGTGGGGTTCAGGGGGGTGGAGCGTATAGTGGACTCCGTAGGTGGTGGTGGTAAGGGTGGCCCCTGGGGCCGGTATGACGGCAGCCCCCAAAATAATGATGCTGGGCTATATATTTCAATTAGCAACCCTTTTGTACAATATTTAACGGAATAACGTACGTGGTAATGATTATGAAGAAGTCAATCATATAGGGAACTGCTATAACGATAGCGAGCAACAAAACGAGCGTTGTTAATAAGATCGTTGGTACGAGCGTTGTCTCGTCCATGTTGGCTAACAATTAGGTAAATAACAATTAGGTAAAGAAAGGAAAAGAAGTCAGTCTAGTAAGTCTCTAGATATATCCATCTACCTACCTCCTACCTACCTACTTACATGCTCGCTCCTTTTCCTTCCCATTTTTATCGGTTCGTGAGCCAGAAATAACGATGGGTAAAGGTGCGTACATCTATCACTAACCAGATACATGACCTTCCATAGCACGGAGTCAGTTTCCTAATTACTATCCAATACATGTAAGTAAACCATAAACAACCCCACTGCTTCCAGTTATACGTTCTCTCTCTTTGGCCATGGCCACCAGCCGTCCATGGGCATGTCGTCATAGATGGCATTATAAGCATCCCATGGTTCCTCTTTAGTCCATGAATAGATGCATTCCCTGCGTCCACCCCAAGCGAATACAGAGCGCACATTCTCGATAGAAAGCTCCCCTAATTTAAAACCGGCCAAGGTCTCGTAGAATTCAGCATGAATCTGTAAGTGGGCAATCCACCTTGGAGGTTCCTGCTGCATGTCCTGTAGAAAGTAGTGGCGCCCCATGGTCCGTCCTGCTTTAAAAAGATCTTCCAAAGTATCGGGATGGATGTACACGGCAGAAGTCTCAAAAAGATCAGCAACATATCCTTCTTCCCACAGGACATTATCCGTCGTCCAGTGGAGGCCCTCGAGCATGAGTTGCGGTACGTTATCGCATTTAATATTGATCTGACCACACCATAACTGTGTTTCGTAGGGCTTAGTAGCATCAGGACTGAAATAGAATACTATATTGGATGTCGCCTTGTTCTCAAAGTAGCTCTCTCCGTTTGTTGCTGGTGGTGGTGCTACTGCTGGATGTGGTTTCTGGGTGCTCGTATCAAGGCTCTCGTGTGTTGGAGGTACAGCTTCCGGCTCGTCGGAATTCGCTTTCTCCATTTCATTTGGTGGCATTTGGGTCATTGCGCAGGTAGGTACTTCGCTATGTGTAGGGTGTTATTTCTCGAGTAGGCGGTGTTCTTTCTCGAGTAAGTGGTGGCCTTTCTCGAGTGAGTGGTGGACGTGACTACCTTTATATGTCTAAATCGTCACTCGGACCTTCTCAAGGTTTCAAATATGAACGTTGAACCTGTTGAAAGAGTTTATTAGATTGCGCTAAGGTAGGAAAAGCACATATGAAATTGAAACTTAGTAAAACACCGGCACTCGCGCTCAGATGCGATTGACTCATGATGCAACGATAACAACTACCTATGTAGAAGGCACTGCTACACCGAACGAAAGAAGGAAGCAAAACTAGAACATTAAACTTCAACTAACTACCTAAGTACCTACCTAAGGTACATTCTTCCATGGAAATAATCCCGTGCCTGTGGATCCCTAGCAGCAGTGACTCAGGCACTCATTTTAATGAGGCAGTTGCTGCCTGCGTCTGTACGCATATATAGGTAAGCAATAGCTAGATCCTAATCCTGTAATCCTAATAATAAAAAATACAACAACGATTTCACCACTAATCCAGGGAATCACAATAGGTTATGACTCCGTTTTGTTGCCGCAGATACAAGTGCAACAACGATCTATTACCTAAACTTTACTCTCGTTAGGAAGGATGAAGAGTTCTTCTCAATTCCTTCTACCTAACTTTACTTTTGCTACAACATTAATCAACTTATTTACCTCCCTTCATCATTCTTTTCTTCCATATTCTACTCAGATCAGACATCAGAAGACATCAATTCTACACAACTATTCGAGCAACACACCATATCTTGAACCTACTCTATAGCATTACTTGAGAATATTCAATCGTCAAACCCTAGACACCTACTAAACAAGGGGCGCCAAAAGACTATTCAACGTCTAAACTATCACTGATTTCTGTTCCTTTCTCTACCTAACCATTAACAGGTACCTAGAAAACGTGGATACGATAACGCTCATTTCCACAAATATATCTAGATTCCTCATATCCATAACAACGTACGTTATTCCGTTAAATATTGTAAAAATGGGTTGCTAATTGAAATCTATAGGCCAGCATCGTTATTTCGGGGGCTGTCGCCACCCCAGCCTCGGGGCGGCCCATTGTTACCACCTTCGTCTTCACCACCATCACCGTCTGAGTCTACCATACGCTCCCTGGGGGAAGATCACACGACGCCGGGCCGCGCCGGCAAAGTGGCAAAGTAAGCCTTTAAAATATCTTTAAATATTCCAAATGCCTCCTTAATATCTACGTATTAATTAGTATTAGGGTACGCGGTACCAGACAAGCACATCCTACCCCAGTAATATGGGCAGCGGAGAAGCCAACAGGCTTCGACGACAGGGCGTTGGTGGCGGAGGCTGTAAGAAGGTGTTTAACAATGAGGGAGCGCTTAATTCTTGCTTTTATTACGGGAAGTATCATATTATTATTTTATTACTTTCGTGGACAATAGCCAGGGGGATGCTGGGGGTTATCAAGGTTCGGATGATGCTGGACGAGCCTTCAACTCTGATCGATATACTGTTGTCATGGAGCTAGCCTCAGTATCTACCACAATGCCGATAATCAACGAAGAAGGGCCACTAGGAATTGGAATGGGCACACGAGGACGAGGCAATAGACCATAGCTATGCATTATGTATTGATCGAAGCAACGAGGACGTTGCGTAAGCATGAGATGATGAGCTATCGCAACGATTAGTCATTGCTAGTATATTCATAGTTCAGATAGAGTGATATTAATCTCTTCCTTTAATACATCAACCTTATAATAGGCAACTTAGCTCATTGTATTACATTAGGTACCTATCAGCTAAGCCTCTATTTAAACTATAGGCAGCAGAGCTCGTTCTTAGTTCCTTAATCAACACTGTTATACACTTAGATCTCGCGTAGCTTACATAAATGATCGTATTTCTACGTGAATACCGTGACAAACTTCAAACTTGGTATTAAGTATACAACTAAGATGCCGGTACTATACTTAGAGGCGCTCCTATATCGTCTGTATACAACATGCCGGCAACGCTGGCGGATGTTAGAGTGGAAATGATACCGGAAATAAGGGCTGAAATGGCAACCCTAGACACATCTCCAGCACGTTCAGGGGCAAGCTGAGACAAGACGCCGATCTGAGTACCAAGAGAACCGACGTTGCCGAAACCCTAATTCATAACAAAATTATTATCTAGAAGCGAGAGAAGGATAGAGGGTAGGACTTACGCAGCAGGCATAGGTGGCGATGAGCTGGGCTCGCGGGCTCAAGTCCCTGTAACGGTCGTCTGACTGAAGAGCCTTGAATGCGGCGTACTCGTTGATGATGATTTTCTGACCGATAAGTTCTCCGACAAGCAAGAGATCGTCATTCGGTACGCCGAGTAGCCAGGATACGACGTAGAAGCAGTAGCCAAGAATAAACTGAATGGTTAATTCTTCGATGCCCCAATAACTACCCCACCATGTAAGAAGTCCGTTGATTAGACCGACAAAGGCGATGATGCAAAGAAGCGTGGCTACGATCATGCCGGCGATCTTCAACCCGAGCCAGGCACCGTTCGCGAAGGCGTGCAACGAATTGGCGGCCTCGTGCTCGTCGCTTTCTGGGATAACGACCCGCCCGGATGTTAGGGTCTCTTCCGTCTCCGGCCAGCGCATTTTAGAGACGGCGAGGGATGCCGGGATAGACATAATGCAGGAAGAGACGAGCGCCTGAGGGTTTAGGCCGAGACCGATGTAGGCCACAAGCACGGAACCGGCGATGGTGGCAAAGCCGCACGTCATAACCTGATGGATCTCGGCCATGGTCATGTGCGCGACGAACGGACGTACCAACATGGCAGATTCGCCCTGTCCGATGAAAGGGGTCGCGGCGGCCACTACGGCTTCGGCACCCGAAACTCGGAGAGTCCAGAAGAAGAAGACGGCGAATTTGCCGACGAACCACTGGACAAGGCCGACGTGATATAGGAGGGATACGAGAGCTACGAAGAAGATGATTGGCGGCACAACACTGATGAAGAACCAAGTCAGTTTCGTCACCGATTTCTCCGTTAGGAATTCGACACCGTCGGCGGCGAAGCTTAGCAACGTTCGGGCCAGCGTAGAAATGAAGTTGAAGATGTCGTAACCAGCCTGGGATCGCAAGACGAAGACGGCGATAATGAACTGAGTGAGCATCCCGCCTTGAGAAACGAGTTAGCGTATCGCCGATTGGTATGAGAAATGGGGAAACTCGATGGCTGCTTACCGATGACGGTGTGCCAAGGAATTTTCCTCCAGTCCTTCGAAGTGGCAGTCAAGATAACAATCATAACTACTAGACCAAACAGAGATTGCGCACGGCGGGCGCGCGTGTTGTCGCCAGTCTCTTCGGGCACCATAGAACCGATTAAGAAAACTGCAACGGTGACGACGGCAGCAAGTGGTCGATGTAGCTTCTTCGGGGTCAGCTCATAAACCCTGAAGGCGGTATGGCGCCAGACGAATTTGACGGGCATCATGGCATATTTAACTGGGATCCATAGGAAGATGATACGAAGCGTGATCGCCAGGTATACTAAGAATGGGATCAGCCAGTTCTTCTCGTTCCGAAAACGAACGAGGCCAAAGATCCACCATCTGGATAGGCTATGTCAGCTCTGCGACTCGATGCGCGACTGCGACGGCTCATCGGGGGTCGCGCCAGACTTACGCCGTAAAGACGAGCCAGATAAAGAGGTGGACGTAGGCCCGAAATCTTCGATAATAAATGGAGAGGAAGCTCTTTTGTACTTCGCTCTCGTCGCCGGCTATCTGGCCTATATTTGCGCTCTCCTCATCGGTAAGCGACTTCTCGGCGGCGGCATAGTCGTGAGGCTTCTCTAAACTCTTATCCGGCGTGTTGGCCGAGTAAGTGACCTCGTCTGAATGATTGGCCGACTTTGAAAGCACGGCTTCTTGTAGCGATGAATTATGGCCGGCGAGGCCTTTGTCCCCGTGAGAACTCATCGGATCGAAGTTCAAAACTGAGAAGACCCTTTTAGCAAAAATTTTTTTTCCTTCTTTTTTCCTCCACTCCTCCCTTGTAAGTTTAACTCGACTCGGAGAAATTCAATCCTCGACCCAACCGAGTGTGGGGTGGTGACCACGCTACGTTCCCGAGGACCTAACGCGGGAGGAAGTCAGAGAGAGGAGGGAAAGGGAAAAGGAAAAGATCGGGAAGAAGAGGTTATATTATTAGCGAGATGCGAGCCGGGGGTCATCGAGGACGTCAAGTGATCGATCTACATTTCTCCAGATTGGAATAAGACAAGAATTTTAATACTTTTTTCCAAGGTCAGCCTCGGTGGACGAATCGTACCTTGGTGGCGATCGCGTGGTCTAGATGAACCCGGTCCAACGCTAGAGTATGGAGGCCTTCTAGAAGGGGAAGGCAACCCTATCTAAAAGGCACATTGGATGTAATCTTTTTTTTTTCACCCCCTGAGATGGGCCTAGCGGCCGAGTTAGTACATACCGGTTTACTTATCATATCATTGTGAACCCATCTGATGCGTAGTCTCACGGTTTGACGAATTATAAGTGGTTAAACAGCGATTAGATGAAAAGATCTCGAAGCCACAGCCGTAGCTGACAAGGGCAAGATAAGAACCCATTACCAGGGGCCCCGAGACAAAGGTACCTAGCCAAGAGATTTTACACTGTACCTAGGTAGGTATTAAACTTAGATAACCACAGGTTGATGATAAGAAAATAGCAGCTTGATTATTACATAACCTAATGTTTTATCAGCATTCCCAAAGGAACGGGGCGCCGAGAGTTTTTTCTCCAATCCCGTCTCCGCCAAATATCAAGGTCCGAGTCTTTGATTGGCTGAAAAATCATGATAACGGGAGTTGTGATGTAACCTTCTTTTAGCAACGGTAAAATAAGCCGGGGATAACCTGGAATGGGGGGGTCCCTCATCCGGCCAAAATACGTACTGATAGGCGTATCCGACACGGGGCACAGCACCCTGCGCACATCGCACAAACGACATAATCGACCAACGAGATAGACGAACACGACGTTACCTCGCTTGGGGAAGTACATTTTCTGTAAGGATTACGTATCGCGCAGGTACTGATATAAAGCTCCGGGGAAGAGCATGGTATGAGTATGTATATTGTTTAGATATAACGCGCTGGAGCCATATCAACTTTTTCTTTATTTACATGTACTTGTAAATGGTTACGTTGACAAGTTTACGTGAAGAATCAGCAAATGATCACGAGACCACGGCTATAACATAACAAATGTGGAACTCGGGAGCTAAGCACACGCAGCTTGGTAGCGCACGATACGAACCATTTTCAGTAAATCGAGATACTTCACAAGTACGTAACTTCTAAGATACGGTAACACCGACCGTAATCTCCCCGAAATGGACGTAAAAGTCTTGTATTACATCGCTTCTCCGCACCAACTCCAGCTTCTATTAATGCCAACCATCCCATTGGGTCGGGGCGCTCATTAGTATCCGGGGCGTATATAGACAACTGATAGACTTTGGAATACATAGTCTTCAAAAGCAATCTTCGTAACAGGGCCATCCGGTATGTATACTACGGTAAGACACCGAAATACATCTGCTGTGAAACAATAGTAATTCGACGGTTGACTGGTCAATCTTAGAGATAAGGGAAAGCAAGTTACCGCTGGAAAGCTGACCATCCCAGCTGAAATCAGCCTCCATGCAGCATTTAATAAGGCGAGATACGCCTTGCAGATAAGACCAGTATAGAATTCAACTTTCCAATTTGGTATTCTTTTCTCCTTATCTCGAGTTCTTAACCTTGCTTTCCCACAACAACCCCTACACTCATATCAAGATATATACGTACGTAGGTAGTATAGCGCTCCAGTTAAAGGCCGTAAATATCTAAACTGGGATCGTGTTTCTTGTCACCTTCCTAAAGCGAGAAGATGGCACGTGCGCTACATGGATGGACCGCGTATCGTCGATCTTATACCCCTCAGCAAGAGGTCAGCCAGCTACGAAGCCTCGGCAATTGGGATTGGATAGCAAATAGACGCTTTGGTAAGTGTTTACATCGGGACGAACCTGATGAATCTAGACCTAGGCGATGATAGCATTTGATAGCTTATTTGATTGTGGTTTGAATCCTGATTATGCTAGCTTGTAGTCTTCGGTTATCATTCCATCTCCAATTGTCGGTTAAGTCTATCTACTATTGGAATAATAGGCAACTTGATACCAGTGGAAGGAATGGGTAATATAAACCGCTCATATATATATATGGGCTAGTGAATAAGGCGCTTGATTATGATCAGTGATACACAGAAACCCTCTTCATTGTCTAATGAGCAAAGGTAGTACTTTATAATCTATCGTACGAAACACGCGCTATAAACCAGCGGTGATTGAAATTATAACTTACTAAAGGTTTAAGTCACGAGGGACTTCGTTACGGTTAAAGGAAACGAAGGGAATCTATCATGAGGGAAGCTATAGTACACTACGGCGATAATCAAGGGCAAGGTTTCATATTTTCATCGTCCAAATAGTTTCGGCATGGGTCTGACGATTCCTTTAGAGAGACTTCTTGGGGTTTATGATATTTTCACTATGAGGATCCGAGTTACTGGGAACTTACTGGAAGGTTAACGTACGGGCCTTAATGATACTCTCTTTTGATGCCTATTTAAGACTCTTTCTCTTAGTTACTTAAGTGCTAAGGCACTTCATCAATACAGAACTTATACGATATTAGAGCTGAGATACAGTGATATTGATATAGCCGGTGCTCTATGGTGAGTGTATTAGTGTATTAGTGAGTCTCGACAGCTGCAGCCTTTCTATCACGGCTGTCAATACCCCCTATGGACCGTGTTATTGATATTAATATTATTGCTACATATACCTAGTTCTACAGTAAATTAGGGCCATCATCCGGATATTGATCAACAAAGTCCGTACGTCCTTCTAATAATACATCGGCATTTAATCTAACACTCCACCTAACCATATCAGTTGAGCTCTTCTCTCTAAAACCACCACCGTGGTCTCCTATATCGCTTGAGGCGCTAAGAGGGCCGGCCGCCCTATGGTGGTGAAATAGTGCTGGCTGGGTTGTTAAGCAGTTATGATACCTGCGTCCGTTTACCCCTTCGCAAAAGAAACGAAGGAGGATATCGAATCCGTCTGTGACATCCTTGAGGCCCACCTCATGCAGAAGCTTTCGCGCACCCGCCTGGCTTACTGCGTATCCAAGTGTACAGACGCCTTCTTGTACGTGATGTACCGCCCTTGTATTTTCTGGATATTTATCCTTTAATGTGAAAGGTACGTTGAAAGTCCATAGATTCCGTTTGGGGGCAACAGTCTCATCTTCGAGGTGAATAACTCGCCCTTTTGGTATAAGGGGATTGTCTTCGAACGGGAAGTGCATGCCACAATGGCCAATCCATAGCAGATCCCAGTTATCGCCATACGGAGACAACTTTGGGAGTTCAGTATTGGGAAGAGAATGAAACAAAGTATCGGGAACGACGGGAAATGGTCCCTTAGATGGAGTTGGAAAGGTAGGATCTGTGTATGAATTGGAGCTAGATAGGGGTTGTGTAATAGCTCGCGTAGACAATGCGAAGTCTTTTAGCTGATGTTTGATTCGGACGTCCCAATCAACATCGTCCTCTAATATTAAAGCGGAAGTCAAGTTTCTTCGAACGACCCTATAATATTTGAGAATGAGCAAGGAACTCATAGGCACTTTAATAAACTGCTTACTCTTGAATTGCGTTCATATGTGCGCGCCACGATCCGAGAGAAGCATCATTCATCCTCTCACGTTCAAACGTCATGGGGATTGCTTTATCGGGTATATCCTTTCCGTTTACACCATCCACAAATTCTATCCTCATATTGCTAAGGGCAGCTTGTAAGAACATACCATCGCGGCGGTCTGTCCGTGATGGCAAGCCAACAACGAATATCTCTTGGAACTATACAGCCACAACTATCAATAATCTCGTAACACATATCATACGACTGGTTATTCATACATACTCCAAGTGTACTGTTATTTATGTCGCCGAGTAACCTATCGATGTCTCCGTCGGAGTTGAGTAGTGGTAAGTTAAGATATATTAATAAGACAATGAGAAGTGTAAGAACTATGTGTATTACACGATTTGATGGGAGTCTCGCAGCCATTGCAAGAGAATATCTACCTATACATCAAACAGTAAAGAGGTTAAGCGATCTGAATGAAAGAGCCTTGCTAAAATATCTAGGACATTATGAGTTGGAAGCCTCATATTAGCAGAGTCCTAAAAATACAAAGTTCCTAATACTAAACCAATAGATATATGTAAGGTGCATGATCGGCGGTTACTCATATGGAGGGCAGAGACCTTGCAATGGGCTATTTTATGAATGGATGAATTAGCGCCCGACGTTGAAGTTATCTCAGCTTCGATGCTACGTAAATTGTGGCTGGCCAACGAGATGAGTTATTTGAACCCGACAATACGGCACCGTTGGCGCAACTACATAGTAACAAATCACGGCAAGGCCCTGTATTGTTTGCTTAAAAAGCTGCAACATTTATCATGCAGTTGGTTCACGTTCGCCTGCTCGTCTGCATAATTAACCCCGTCCTGAACGGGAACTAGGGATGCCGAAATGAGCTTATTGGACACTAGGTACTTGAACTCATATTCCTTTTAATTGTGATTGATACCTTAAGACTAAATACTTAGCTGCTTTCAACAGATGTCAAGTTCCTATGTGTTCAGGTAATAATGTCGTAATTTCCTTTTCTCTTCTCAATAGTTCATAGCCCATTCATCTACATTCTTATACTATATTTCTTGAGGCTTTCATGTATTATTTCTATATACCCGCTAAAGCTACTCGATATGATAAGCCTTTTCCTTATTTTCACAATAGCCTCGTTCGCGCTTGCACGATTCTCGAACCCCCCTCCTGGTCAAGTAACGTGGAATATCGGTGAGATTCAAAATATCAGTTTCAAAACGGATTTCGAAACATTCTCCATCGCTCTTTGGCAAGAGGGTCCTGACAGAAATTCAGCAACTCTCGGACCTATAGTCTTTCGTAGGTTACGCGAACTCATACTATCAATCTAGACATCCACTAATCAGACCCTACAAGAGACTGTAAACAATGCAGCGACTCAATTTACCTGGCTTGTCCAGACGTACGACTTTGACTTGACCGTATCGAGCGTATTCTTTTTCTGGATGTTCGACGGCGACCCTTCATTTCAAGGGGACCAGTCGAGTCCTCAAATATCTTCGTCATTCTTCAACATATCGAACGAAACCACGGTTAGCACTACAACACAGACAACGCCACCGAGCACCTCAGCCAGTCAACCACCACTATCTTCTCTTACGGACAGTAACCCAAACGAGGCTGTCCGGAAAGATTCCAACGAACTGAGTGCTGGGGCAAAGGCCGGAATTGGAATTTCTGTTAGCATAATAGGCCTGGCGATAATTACGTGCATCGGGCTCTATATTAGGAAATCGAAGAGGCAGAGTCATCATGTGGTTGATGAGCCTGTCGGAAGTCCACAACCAATTCCCCAAAAGGAAGCATGGCAAAATAATATGGTTGCGGAAATGGATGCCTTACAGAGGCCAAGCCATGCCGAATTACCTTGAGGGTGAATGTTTTTTAAGGTAGCGTTGGCGTTGTCGATTTAGGACTTATCCGAAGCGAGTTGAACTGAGATTTTATTAGAATAGAAGAGTTAATTTTGGTACGAGATATGAATCTTATAACGCTTCGCATTTTCCCAGCATGTAACCATCTGTGTTGATAGGTATCTGAAGTAGTGTCATGGCGTGAGACTGTATGTCACAATAATAATTGGTTCACCCCTATTCGCATGACTATTGCCCGCAAATTAGTTAATCATGTCGTAGTCATCACTTTATATTTATACTAACAGGCTATGACTGCCCGTTTTATAGTTACGCAATTAAAGTCCGCGGCAAAGAAAAGGGGTCGAAGACTACGTTCAAAAACGCCGGTTCTTCTCTTAGGCTTCTAATGCCTACATATTACCTACGTATCTTTTTGAACTATAGTAAGGGGTTAAAGTCCATTGGCAATGTGAATTCGAATGATGAGCTACGCTGCGAGGTTAATATGCTTAGCCTATTTGATGAGCGCTACACGCACATAGTCACCCTATTGCATGATATCATCTGGCGTGTAGAATACCGGGTGTAATTACTATTTAGTCGCTATATACCGAACCGGAGCATAATATCGTTTAACTCATGGCCCATAGCCCTTCTAACGCCAAAGCAATCCCTCAAGTACCTTGTTGTACCTGCCGCCCTGGATCGTGAACGACGCAAGGATCTGATCAAGTTCCGCCTTGTCCTCCGGCGAAAGAAGAACGTTCTTGGAATTCTCCTCGGCACGCTCAACCCTCGTAGCACCGGGGATGGGAATGATAGTGCCAGCTTGCGGCGAGTTGGAAACTGAACGAATCCAGGCCAGCGCAAGTTGAGCCGGCGTAACACCCGCCTTCTCTGCGAAGGATTTCAGCTTGTCCACAAGCTCGAGGTTCTTGTTAAAGTTCTAATTAAGAGATGGGAGTTAGCTTCGTAAGAACATCCCCGGATAGGGTAGAACAAAGGATTCTTACCTCGGGCTGAAAACGGTCAAAACGCCGACGGATGTCTCCCTCGGGGATGTCGTCGACAGATTTGATTTGACCGGTCAAGAAGCCACGGCCTAAGGGAGAGTAAGCGACAAGGGGGATATCAAGCCGCTTTGCCGTGGCCGCTACGCCATTTGTTAAGATATCAGGGGTCCATAGGGAGAACTCGATTTCCACCAAGCTTAGCGGGTAGATGGCGTTGGCCTTCTCGATGGTCTGGGCGCCGGCCTCGCTAATTCCCACGCCGCTAATTTTGCCAGCATCTACAAGTTCCTTGAATGCCCCTAACGTCTCTTCGAGTGGCACGTTGGGGTCCATACGGGCCGGACCGAGGATGTCTATCTTCTTCGCGCCACCGAGAACCCTGAAGCAGTTCTCGGCGCTAGCAAACACTTCCTCGCGCTTGATCTTAGGCGCCATGGTCTTAAAGTCGACGCAGCTCTTAATGAATAGGGTGACCTTGCTCGCATCCTCCGGGTAAGCTTCGAAATAGCGGCGCAGCAGAGCTAAGCCAGCTGTCGGCTCAGGCATGCCGTAGTAGTCACCGCTAGACCAAAATGTGGCGCCTTGAGCGATAGCTGCTTTCATGGTTGCGAACGCCTGCTCGTCGGGCGTGTGCGTAGGGCGCCAAGTCATGCCCATAAGCCCGAAGCCTGTAACAGCCCTAGGCCTGAAGACGGTAGCGGAAGTCGAAGACATTTTGTTGAGATGGTAAGATTTGCGACGAGCGAAGTTGTGAAAGGGGTTGCAGAAGGTAGCTGAGATGAATGAACGAATACGGGTTTTCTTCAGAGCCATCACGAGGTCATCTCGACTGTTTAAATAGCCTAGGTACTTTCGTAGAAGATCTCGTCATAGAAGTGATGAAGCGGAAGACGGCGCACAAAAGTGTTTCGGCCTGTACGACATCATCGGGTTTCAAAGAGACCGAGTGATTAGGTGCCTGACAAGTCCGGCCGAGCTGAGAAAGACTCCCGGTTTTAGGATTAAAGGGAGCGCGAAAGAAAGGGGCGCGAAAGAAGGGAGCTTGGCTAAGGCGGTTCGCGACGTCTAAACTCCGACGCATAACTCCCGTCTTTGCGGTGCCGCATACTAACCTATTAGATGTAAGTTATAAGGAGTCTCGTATTTACAGCTAGGACTGGAGGCTTTGACAGGGACCAGCTGGCGCAGCTCTCGCCAACACACGTATTATGTGTAACCATCTCCCCAGTCATATATCTGATTTTACGGCACAGCGCGTTAGTGTTTGCCTTGCCGTTTACACATGTAGTTCTTAGGATTTGAATCATACCAAGTTAATCCAACCTTCCAAATTCAGAGACTCATATGAGAAACGTTAGAAAGAAAGAGAAACATAAGGGCCATTAAGTCATATTATTCAAATTTGGCTCGGATGATATAATTAAAAATTTGGCTCGGATGATATAATTAACTACCTGGGTACCCAATATACTGTTAATGTACATATACTAAAATGGAAAGCCTCTTTAAATCTGATTGGCTGAAATTACGTATACTATTCCTTAAAGAGTATAGGGCACGCGTCGAATCTTAAGTCCCATCTTGGTACTTCTCAGCAGTTCCAGGGTTGCGGAGATAAGACACATTTTAAAGCGACGCTAAGGCCTCACGCCGTGATAACTGATTGGTTGATTTAACAGCCCTACGAAGGTCCGGGCCAAAAGTCTTTCACATCTGGTCTTAGCAAACCACGTGCGAGTAAAAAAAGGACCGCACGGTATTACTTAAGCTGTAGTGGCTAATGCCGCTATAAATACAGTGGTAAGCCACCTAAACTTAGCGTACGGGCCATTATCCAAATTTTATCTTAGCAGGTGGCTGATACAGTATTAATAGAAAGGGATGACGTTCGAATACGGTGCTAGGGACCTCCACATGTGCAAGACCTTTGACCCGGACCTTCGTACAACGTCCCGAACCCTATTTCAACTTTGAGGCGCCCCCACGCACAGGACATTCTCTTCAACTATCATGCTTGTCCTACCCAGATGGTGGTAATGTTCGACAACTTTCAAAGTCATCTACTATACCGGTTGAGAATGTAGCCTAGCGAGGACCACCAGATGACTATTTTCAAGAGTATTTAATTACGTCATTCACATTATTGGCAAGTGTCTCTAAATTTACGTAGCAGTAGGTTGATCCTGTCTATTTCGAGGCTTTTATAATGTCGAATATTATCGTGCTACCTACCACTTTGGAGGGGTTGTTCTCCTTTGGGGGGATTTATCAACTATCGAGTCTCAGCCAAAGCTTGTAGCCTGGTCATAATGTGCTCAGTTTCGGCGATGAGTAGAATAGGATCCCAACAAAGCTCCTACGTTGATCTCAGAAGGAAATAAATTAAGAGGCTTCGGATAACAACGAAAAGCCTTACAGTTTGCCTAATTATCTGACGATAGTATCATATATCGGGACGATACAGGCCTCCCATAGTAAGGCCTCGGGAGTTCCCATAAGAAAGGGTGTGTGTCGGGAAATCATTTCAGCTCTAGCCTTAGCTTCAGCCTCACTTATCAGGAGTCCTGTTGTGACGGGTGTTTGCTTACCCGTGTCTATTGTAGCCTATAGAATACGGCTGTGGCTTGAGATCCAGACCTTTGTGTCTATATTTACTTTATCTTGCATTAAGATACGCCCCGTGATGGGATGCGACTCGTGATAGGATGGGAGGCGCAATAAGACAGGAGGCGTATTGTCCAGGGGCATCATGGTGTATAGGACGACAATATCAATATGAATTCGGGCGTAATAAAAGAGATGGGTGATGAGGTTCTCTTCGAATATAAAATATAGGAAGTCATGAAGAAACTCTAGTTGAAAGATCCCAAGCACTCATCGACACTCCTTCTCTTACCTCATTCAAGAAAAGAGCTATCTCTCTTGTGTCACTCGATCATCATGCTCTCACGCGCCATCTTTAACGCACTGGCGATCTTTGCCTCCACAGCTGTAGCTGGGCCTACTTGGCACGCGAGCAGAGGTGAAGATCTTGTGAAATTCTTGGAGAGGGCTACTACCCCCACGTTAAACTTCCATATTTCTCCCAATGCTTCCATCGTTACCCCTGATTCCCCTGAGTGGGTTGACGACACGACCCGCTGGTCCACGTGGAGCGCGCCGACTTTCAGCGTCGCATTCCTCCCGGCGGAAGAGAAAGATGTTTCGGTTGGTGTAAGTGGGCTGAAGCCATCCCGCTTCGGAGGAATTATATATATAGGCTGACACCACTGACACCATCACGTAGCTCCAATACATGACGAAGCACAACATACAGTTCCTTGCGGGTGGCGGCGGTCACGGGAATACGGTTACACTGGCCAAAGCGAAAAATGTTGTGTTTATTAACCTGGAAAAACTTAACAAGATCACCGTGAACTCCGATAAGACCATCACCGTCGGCGGTGGAGCCAAATTCGGGGATGTCTACGCGGCCGCTTACGGAGCCGGTCGAGAATTGCGTCAGTACTGGTCTCTTTAGCACTACTATACTGCTATCTATTCAACTTATTCATTAACTAATAATCCGATGCAGCGCTCGGTTCCTGCTCTTGTGTCGGAGTTGGTGGTGCAAGTCTTGGTGGCGGCCACGGCAGACTTCAAGGAAAATACGGCTTGATAGTAGATGCCATCGTTAGCATGCGCGTAGCTCTATGGGACGGATCTATCGTTGAAGCATCGGCCACTAAGAACTCAGACCTGTTCTGGGCTATGCGCGGAGCTGGCCACAACTTTGGCATCGTTCTCAGCTTCACATACAAGACCTGGCCTCTACAGAACAACGGTTTGAACTATAACGCAGACATGACTTTTACCAACGCTTCTCTGGAGGGGGTCTTTGGCGTCATTAACGAACTTATCCCGAACCAGGACCCCGGTCTTGCCCTAGATCTTTTCATCCTTACGGACTCATCTACCCACGAAGTAAGGATTGCCCCAAGACACTGTTGGAAATCGGAATTGAACTAATATCATTAGACTGTTACCTATCTTAACATCGTGTACGCTGGGACTAAGGAGCAAGGAGATCGATTCACAGCCCGTTTTGCTACGAACAAGAAATCGACCGATCCTATTGAGCGTACCTCCTTAAACGTGACCATGGCCCCCTGGAGCCAGATCACACACGTCGCCGCTGGAGGCATGATCGACTTGGCATGTCTCGACGGTGCAAGCCAAAACGTTTACACAGCCAACTTGAAGCACTTCGACATACCCCAGCAGCGGCAGTTCTACAACTCCTACGTAGAATTCATCAAGAAGAACCCCCTCGCATCCAACTCGATCATATTCTACGAGATCTTCGGTCAGAAGGCCGTGGCCGAGCAGCCAGCCGACCAGACATCAGTCGGAAACCGCAACTACGCCAATATTCTCGCTCTCTACCAGACCTCATATACGGACGAAAGCGTCGCTCCTGCAGCCGATGCGTGGGCGCGTGGTCTTCGCGACGAGGTAATCAAGCCCGAGCACTCGGGCTACGATATCGAATCCGTATATATGAATTACGCGCACGGTAACGAGAAGCTGGAGGCTATGTATGGTTATGAGCCGTGGCGTCTGGAGCGTCTTCGTAGCCTCAAGCGCCGTTATGATCCTAAGGGATTTTTCAACTTTTATAACTCGGTTCTATGATGTGGTAGGTACATATAGGAATGCAGTCAGTTTTGATTTTTAGGCTTGGTTTTTTTTTTATGTAGATTATGAAGTTTATTGGTTGTATGTTTAGAGCTTAGGTATTCGCTTTGTGGCGGGGAGATCAAGTGGTGGGGTTGGGCGTCACAGTGTGTAGAATGATCTGCCCAATGTATACTCTATTATAGATTTTCTAGAAATGAATATTCTAAGGATATCAGTGCCATTGAGACATTTTCCGGAAATTGATTTAATATAGTCATCACGCTCTTAAATAAACTCTACATCCGGTTTTTAGAAGTCTTTCATAGAATAAGTACCTAGGTACCCACAAAGTCACAACGCCAACGCTAATTTAGTCAATCATTCGGGTAAAAGATGGGACACCGTTAACTGGCTACTTCAACAGCAAAAACAAGCCAAATTCTCAACAATTCCTGAATCCCCGGTGGCGCAATTGGCTAGCGCGTCTGACTGTTAAATAACTGTTATCAGGAGGTTGAAAGTTCGAGCCTTTCCCGAGGAGATTTTCTTTTTTTGTCTTTTTCATCCGATTCTCATAGTAACATATATCTTGAAAATAAGTCGGTCGCAAGTTTTTTTTTTTTCTTTTTCTCTCTTACTTTTATCGCCTCTTAGAAAGGCCCATGATTTTACAGGCGGCTTATCTTCGCTTTCATTGCAATAATGAATAATGTCGATTCGTGCGCCTACGGCATTGCTCAAGCGTCTACTTAAACGCACCGAATTCAGGGGAGGGGCTACATAACGCCAGGTATAATATTTGCCTGAGTTACTACAAGGTAGTTGTGCTTCCCGCCAGGATCACGTCACATGTAGCCTTCATCAATTTGCTTGAGATGATAAATCTATTTTTTATATTAATTTCCCCATACATTGAAGTATCATGATAGAGTCATGATCTCCATCTAACTTGCTAATCTATGCGTGCCAGTGGGATTTCACCCGAACCATGTGAGATTCTCCCCAGCCCTGTAATCTTATATCCACGTCTACAACGTGACGATCAGCTTCGCACCACTGACCTGGGCTGGGAACCTGGCTAGACCCTTCTGGATATCAGGGAATCCGTGACCAACAACCTCGGCCTTGACGGGGACCTTGTACTTGCGCTCCTCCAATTGCTTGCCCAGCCAAGCCATGGCGCCCGGCTCCGCATCCAACACGCTGACCAGCGTAGAATTGACTTCCTTAGGAGGTTGTGCGTCAGGCCGAGTAAGAACCAGAGAGTACAGCTTCGGTCCGTCAGCTCTGAGCGCATCGTAGATGGCGGGCGTTTCAGGACCAGCTCCGACGGGGTCTAGAATGGCGTCGAAACCAACTCCCCCAGGCGACGCGGCCTTGAGAGCTGCACTGTCCTGCTGAGCGGATCGCTCGAGAGCCGCGTTCGCACCTAGAGATTTCAAGTGCTCGTGGTGAGGCTTTGAGCTTGTCACCACAATAGTAACGGACGGCAGCGCAAAACGTAGGATCTGAATAGCTGCGGCTCCCACGGCGGAGCTGCCGCCAATGATAAGAATTGACTTTGGCGGGTTTGTGTTCTCTATCTTGGAAAGGCCGGGGATGCCTACTTTGAGGCCACCGGCAATAGCACCCGCTGCGGTGAGGAAGCAGGTTCTAAAATAAGGAGTTAGCTTATATGAAATAGGGGCTTCCGAACAGAAATACGTACGACAGAGAAGCAGCCTCTTCAAAACTCAAGTAGGCCGGTTTCTTAGTAACTTCTTCTGCTGGCGCAACATACACCTCCTGGAATGAGCCCTTGCCCAGAATACCGTGAGCGTAGCTTAGGACTTCATCGCCGGGCTTAAAGTTTGTGACACCCTCGCCGACTTCTTCGATAATGCCGGCGCCGTCAATGCCGAGAACGGCGGGCCAGGATTGGATTGTGGCACCGAAAGTGATGTTCTTCCAGTCAATTCCGTTGATTGCAACGGCCTTTGGTCGGATAGTAACTTCACCAGCGCCGGGCTTAGGCTTGGGTGCCGTGATTAGCTCAAAAGATCCGCCGGGCTTGGTCGCCTGGTAAACTTGAATGGTGGACATGATGAATGATAGATATTTGCTTGTTTGAAATATTTATCTTTGGTATGTTTAATGTAGTCGAGATGATGATGAATAACAAGATGGTAATTATTGCAATTTCAACAAGTTGTTAAGGCTTCATATATACCCCGCAATAGGGGAACCCTTTGAGGCTTCAACTCTACCAACGAGTCTTGGCTTAGAATGCAAGATGTTGGTGTCACCACCTCGTATCACCGGGAAAAGAACGAGAAAGAACAAAACGGTAATGCGTACGTCTTGGCCCCGACTCGCGAGTCTTGCGTCCGCTATCGGACATAATCCTTAATTCCTCAAAGCCGAACCGTCACACCAGAGTCGGCTGTTGGTTGGGTTGAGTAAGCCGCGATTATACCATCGGATCTAAACAAAGATCTGTTGGATCTGTTAGATCCTATAGTCGATGACGTATGAGGCTGACCCGAACGAGTATCATTTTCCGCCTTACACCCGTTATGTTTTCCGGCCTACCCTCTTGTTCGGATCATGTGACGCGGAAATGAGCCGAAGCCGAATTCTATTTATTTCAGTCCCTTTCTCTACATTATAGACTTTCCTATTTAATCTGCTTATAATACTGATGTCGAAGAAAGTGGGATGAAGTGGGATGGTCAATAGAAATTCCCAATTATTTTGCCGCCCCAACGCGGGTAAAAAAAAGTTATGGGCGTTCAGGCGTTGAGGATTCGGCCTATGCCGAAGGAGTCCGGAATGTCCCACTAGTATATCTTGGTCAACCTATTTCAGACATAGAAAGCATTCGAATTTGATTGATAAAATTCTAGACTTATGTCGACATCTTGAGGATTAGTAAAGACGCGAATGACCCCGCACCAGAGTATTTGATTATTTGATATCTTGAAGTGGAGGTGAAGTAAAAGGGGTTTCCGACCAGGGGTAATTTGATTTGCATTTACATGACGATACTCGAACTATTCACACAAGATATTCGTATCGCACCTGTTAATGTTGAACTGAGTCGTTACATTGAGCTTCTTTAAATTTGTAGTTATTCAAGTTCCTGAGTTACCCCTTATTGTCTGGTTTGAGGTTCAGTCACTGTAGCTTAGGTAGCTAAGCGATTAACTGACGAGAAATTGCTTTAACTATTAAACAGGTTTACAGGTGAGAAGCGTCAATGTCAAACTTCGTAAGAGAGACATGCGCATCGAGTAGTTATAACTAGTTGATTTAAATAAACTTGAAAGTATCGTATTCCATTCTATAACATTCCTATTCTACAATTCTCTATATCTTCAGTCTAATTCCTTGAAATTTTTCACAGCGAGGCCTCCAAGTATATCAATAAACCACCTCTCTAGTTCAGGAAACCAATTTCCTTCCAAACATAAATATACTTCCTAATAACCTCCTCGCTCACCGGGCCCACGGCAGCCAAGGTAGGCGAGTGCTCGAGCGTCTTCTTGGCGTCGAGAACGAGCCCGCCGCAAGACATGCGCCGGTAATTGCTATCCAAGAAATCAGCTAGAGCAGCAGCCGGATTGTTGCGCTGCGGTGCTGCTCTCACGCGCTTCGTCCACTCTTCTAGAGGAATCAAGTCCCGGATACCTAAAGCGTCGGCTAGAACCTTGTTGACTTCGCGCCAGGGTTGGCCAACAGGGTTCTCGATGTGATAGAAGGGATAGTGGGGTTGCGGGTGTGGCCTCAAGACGAGATCGGCGAGCGCGCCGGCTATATCGTTGACTGGCGTCCAGTATACTGTGCCGTCAACGTCGGGCAAGGCATTCAGCGTCTGCGAGGATTTTATCATGAACCCGAAGTGTTCCATGGGGTTCCAATATCCGCTAACCTTGGACCCGGCGATCTGGCCCAGGCGCACGGTCATAGGGCGGAAGTGCTCCGGATATTTGTGCAGGGTCTCGTCAAGCATCCGTTCGCAACCCCACTTGGCCTGCGCGTAACCCACGGGAAGAAGCGCGTCGACGTCGACCCTGTCCTCTGGAACTACTACGCGCTCTTCTGCGCGTCCGTAGTGCCCGACGACGCTGATAGATGAGATCATCTGGAACCCAAACCGGAAGCTGGCAGGGCGACGGGCTACAGCTGCAGAAGCAAGATCGATTAAGTTGCGCATGGTGCTGAACTGCGGCTCGAAGCCATCTAAGGGCCTCTTTACGCTCATAGGCCACGCGTTGTGAATAAGATGCGTGACGGAGCCCGCTAGCATCTCATATTCTCCCTTCGTTAAACCAAGCATAGGGGCCGAGCTGTCGGTCTGCAACACTTGCAATTTGGAAAGGAGATGTTCGGGGAAGTGGACACCCTTGTCCTTCATGGCCTTCTTCTGACGCGTAAAGGCTTCGGCCTTATTCTCGCGATTAAGGCAGATCACCGTCTTCACGTCGGCACGATGCGCTAGCTGAAAGGCTAAGTGGCCTCCTAAACTGCCTGACGCTCCTGTTACCAGAACGACTTTTGCGTTGTCTGCTGGGGCGACGGCGGATGGCGAAGGGATTGGTACCGAAAACCCGGCGGCGTACTTCTGGACGTACACGTCAACAGCCGCCTTTCGAGCGGCCAGTTCGGCATTTTCGCTCTCCGTGAAGCGTGGTGCTTTGGTGGCGATGGCAGATCCTGGCGTTTCCTCGACGGAGGGTTGAGTTGTGTTTCCTGAGCCGGTTCCTGAGCCGGTGGTTCCAAGCAACAATTCTTTCAGATCGGCAACCGTGGGGCATTCAAGAAATAGGGACTCGTGTTGGATATCGAGCTCGAGTTCATCCCTGAACCGACTCACGATAACGAGCGATAGTAGCGAGTCCACGCCCGAGTCGGCAAAGTTGGTATCGTCAGTAAGGTCCTCAATTGCAACGCCGCTTTCCTCGGATATGATCTCAAGGGCGCGCTTGAAGTCGACCTTAACTGTAACCAAGGGCTCGTCTGCGACGGAAGAAGTTGTCGTGCTGGCCTTTGGTGTGGGCGTATCTATTTCGTCGTTTGTTCTCGGAGTAGAAGCACCAGTAGTGCTGGCCGATTTCGAATCTCCAAAGAAACCCTTAAGATCTCCAACGGTGGGATACTCGTAAAAGAGCGCGTTGAAGTCGAGATCCATTTCGAGCTCCTCCTTGAATCTGGCCGAGATGGTTAAGCCCAAGAGAGAATCGATTCCGACGTCGCCGAAAACAGTGTTGTCGGTTAAATCCGATACGGCAATACCACTTTCATCAGCGATGATGGCCAAGGCTCGTGCGACGTTAGGCGAGGATGAAGGCCCTGTAATTACTTGAGCAGGCTTTTCTGCGCTAACGAGAGGTTGAGAGGGTGCTGAGGGAGCAGCCTGGCTCTTGTGTACAGACGGCTGAACAGTCGACTGCTTCTTCGATTTCCCGCTTTCTGCTGATAGGATCACCCGCAAGACTCGACGCGGCACACCTTGCATCTAAGATCACATATAAGTAAAGATATCCAAATATAGAAATAGGG